GAACATGGTAGTGATGGGTAAATAATTGGACTCAATGACCTTAGAGGCCTTTTCTAACCTAAACAATTCTTTAATTCCATAAAGTCAGAGACTGTGTCATGGTTTTACTTGGTCCGATTTTTGGTGGTGGGGGGATGGGATCAAGAGACCACAAAGATGGCTCCTGTGAGAAGTTCTAGAAACTGTCTCCTTTTTCTCTCCAGCAAAAGGAGCCCTACTCCCTGTGTTTCAGAGCCAATCCATCATGGCTCTGAGGGTGATGGACAGGCTGATCATCAGGCCTGGGCCAATTGCACAGGTTGGTTACACCTCTGTGATGACGCATTATCTAGTATTTAAAAAGAATTCAAAACAAGATAGGGGTGGCCGCCATTTTGTAGCTTTAGGTTGTTAGTATGTAGTTTTAGTATCATGCACKGGGGAAAAACAGAGCAGGAGGGTGAGGAGATGTAAGAAGAAAAATGGAGACCTAAAGATCAGTAAGGAGAAGATGGGATTGGCTTGCTGTGCTTTTTGCTGTGGTTCTCGAGCATGGAGAAAAATAAGTTGTTCTCAAAAAAGGACTGTTTCATCAATGAGAGAGAGAGAGACCTGAATCGAAAAGGAGAGCGACCTCGCTCTGAGGGAAAAAAAACTGGCTTTTGAGGACTGGACTAAACAGCCAAAAAAGGGGGAAGAGGCTTGGCCCCCCCACGACGTCTGAAGTAATTGGATGCTTAGAAGAAGCTGTGCTCTGCCAGGAGGTTTGTGATAGTGGTCTCACGCCGCTGAAACAATGCAGTTTGGCCTTGAAGGACATTCTTTCTTTTTCTCCTACGAGGTAAAAGAATACTCCCACGCCATGCACTGACTGTTCTTGGGAAAAAAAAAAAACTTCCACAGCTTGGAGCTGTAAGAACGCTTCTCCTATGATGCTGGACAACAACTGTAATGAGTGGTTTGATCTGTGTTAGACTTTCATTCCTGCCCCCCTTTGTGTGCGGGAAAACATGGGGGGGCAAGAGGGAGGACCTGGGAAAGAGACGTTCCTGGAAAGGATAACAGGTGTCTTAAAATGTCCGTTTTTATCTTTCTTCTCCTTGTAAACTTGTCCCCATCTCCGTTCCCTTCCCCAGTGCCATACTATTCTTAGTAGTTTGTAGTAATAAATCTATTTTTGCAACTTAAGTTATGCAGCCTGTCTGACCATTCTCTCTGGAGCACATACGTATCTTTCTCTCAATTACGTGATATTATCTGAAAGCCATAAATTTGCGTGTTAATTGGGCTTTCACTCTCCCTTCTCCCTCTCCGATGGGAGGAAGGGAGGGAACGGCGTGGGTGCAGTGCTTTTGGTTTTCAGCACAGTCTAAACCACGTCATTTTCTGGTGCATTGGCTGGGAAACTGGCAAAAATCAGGTTTTAAACCCACGACAGACTGTTATCCAAGTATTCTGTGTTTTAGGATYTCATCTCCCTTTGCTCAAGACAGAAAGCGCTTGGAGGGAGGGGCTGTGTTTACAAGAAGATAYGAGCATTGGCCAAAGTCAGGGCACAACAATTTCCTCACCTGAAAAAGGGACTGAACATCCAGACTTGCACAGGCATCTGACAACATTTGCCACTTTCTGTCTTCACARACAAAGCTTGTCTCCCCGTGGAAGGAGGGAGAGCAAGGCTGAATACAAATTGCTCCGTTATCTTGGCACGGAATGAGATTTATACAGGCATCTGGAAAAAAAGCCAAGCAGATGTTATAAGGTGAAAGACAGCACACCATGGTCTGTAATGTGAGTATCAGGGGTGTAAAGTATTGATAACTGATAACATCTCACAAAGCATTAACCAAGGCACATCATTAGTCACTTTACCTTGCTCATCACCAGTCTTTGACTCATTACTGAGAATCTGAAAAATAAGAAGTAGAATGTAGAGTGAATGATTACATAAACAGTAAAAGATGACTCCTTGATACAAACCAGAAAGGGTTTCAAGGGGAAGAAAATCCTTTTGAGATCCAGAATGCAGAGCTTGTGGCCCTTTGCTCTTACAGACCCACTGAGAACTCTGCTTAAAGTCTACCTCTGTATATGAAGCCTCCAGTTGGAAGCTGCTACTGAAATGGCACTCTGATCTTGTGCACAGATCTCAGATGAGGAAGAAATTGTTTGTGATGAGTGGGGAGGCCCTGGCACAGGCTGTCCAGAGAGCTGTGGCTGCCTCATCCCTTGAAGGGGATTTGAGCAGCCTGGACCAGTGAAACTCACCCTGGGGGTGCTGAGTGGCACGGCTGGAAGGAAGAGCACAGCCCAAAGGAGCAGRTACTGGATCACCCTCACATCCATCSCCAYRCATTTGCTGCTTTCCCCCTGCAAGAAAGATGTTAAAGAAGTTTAGACATCGCTGTTTCCACTTTTTGAAGGTAGTGATTACTAGGGAAAAAGCAGTTAAACCTGTGTCAAAGACTGTCCTTACAAGGTGATTTTCAGACATTCATAATTTATTACCTTTACTACGAATGATTTGTGAACCCTTTCTTAGGAAAAAAAAAAGAAATAAAATCTCTCCTACACTGGAAGTTACTGCATTAGTAATTTACTGTCAACTGCAAGCTGGAGAGCTTATTAAAGCAGTTCAGCCTGTGGGTCCCTTTTGAAGTGATTTAAGACAGTCTCATCTCTGGGTTCAATGCTCTGCTCTCCTTGGGTGGCTCCTGCCATGTGAGTAGGAAATGTGGGCACTCAGGACCCAGATATCAAAATCTGAGGAATAAGGACAAGACAGAAGTAAACAATTATTTCTTTTGCAAAAGGATTCAGCTCTCTATTCCCTTCATGAAGTTTCCCATGGTTCTTGGTAAAAGCTAAACAACCTGGKATGCAGCTTATTACAGGTGTATTTGTTGGAGGAAAATAATCCAGCAAAGGGAATGAAGGAAAAACAATGTGACACATCAACTCTGACTATTAGATGCTAGACACATCTGAGGTAAAAACAATAGCTGATATGTGTTCAGGAGAACTGAGACACCAATCTTCTACAACATGTATAAGTAGATTAAGTAATTTACTGAAAAAAAAGAAGTATAACACTCTGTGAGCTAAACCTCTAAAGCAAGAAGCAAACGCACAGCGGCAAAACAGAATGACAGCTGGATCTCAGGAGATGGCAACATGAAAAACCTCTCCAAATTACCATGCCTAGAGAGGAGGCACTCAATTTTCCCCCTGACACGTACTGATCAGCACAGATGATGCTGAKCAGAAGCAGAAGGGGTCCTGCACTGATAGAACAGAGATGTGTTTTCCCATCCAGAGGCTCCCATCTGATAGCATCAAAGGCCCAGGCATCCAGCTGGTTGCCCCTTTCATCTGTGATGTTTGTCCACTGTGCTGTGTTTTCAGATCTGTAAGTTTATTACTTAATTATGAAATTATCATAAAAGTAAGGGCTCAACTGATGCACTGAATTTCTCAGGTAGCTCTAAAGGAGAGCCACGTGCCAGCCTCTGAATTCAAATGTTAATATGAAAAGCATTTTCTGGGTTAAAAGCTAGCAACCATTAGCTCTTCTAAGGAAATAAAATTGGTAAGGAGAAGCAAACCAAAATACTTGCATCAATATTGCCAAAGAACAGGAGGTGGCTGGGAAACACCTACAGGTTTGAGGTGAAAGGCTGCACCAAATTCTTCTCCAATTTCTGCGGTCATTAAATGTTTATTGTGTGCTCGCAGCCCTAATTCCATTTCACAGCTCGGAATCCTTGAGCTCACGTGCCTCACCATTAATTAATTCACATTCATTTTGTRTTTAATCACCAGTGGAACTCCACCTAGGGCTGTTACCTGTGAGAGGCAGAAATCTGGGCCATCTCCAGGTATCTCGGGCTCACCGAGACACCGGTCCTGTCTCCAGTGAAACACTGAGCTCGCTCGGCTGCATTGTTTGACTCATGYTGGAAACCACCCAGTTCCTGCACTGCAAGAACCTGCAGCCAAGGCAACCACTGGGCAGGAGGASAAACTTGGGACAAAACAAGCAAAACAGCAGAAAATCACTGTTGCTTTAGGAAAAAATAGGGATGTAGTGGCACAGGGTCACACKAAAGCAAATACAGAGAGAGTATGATAGGTCTTTTATCATAAACTATCCACTGCCAGTAATCCCTGCCTTCTTAAGAGGCTGTAATCATGTTACTCCTGTATTCCAGAAGTTTCTGCTCCATCAGGACACAGGTACATGAGCAGCTGAGGTGTCAATACCCTCCCATGTGGAAAGGGCTTTCTAAATAAGAGGACACWTCCACACCCAGCTCAGGAGACTGTTCCCAGTTGATGATCCTCCTTCTCCAGTTCATTTCAAAGCCCTCCACAGAAGGGAARGAGCAAGGAGTGAGAGGATGGACAGTGGTTACAAGAGAGCAAAGAACCTCTTAAAACAGAAAAAAAAAGAAAAATAGAAAAACTAATCATGTATTTTAAAAGCAGTTCATTTATTGGTTAATGCTCACAGCYTTATGTTCAAATCCCTTACTCTGACTCCTGTTGCTGTAAAATTTAAGTATTTTGTAAAACCCTACAAATGACCCTCCTTTCCTCTACTCTGAGCCCRTTCTTGTTTTTAATTTCTGGCAGGATGCACTGCCCAGCAGTGSCACAGCAACCAGAGGGATCTGTGCAAACAATGACAGCGACAGGAATAACAGCCCTGACACTGCTGCACCCCAAGTCTCTGGCCAAAGGGTCCTTCATCACCTGCACTCACCTCTCTCCCCTCTCCACTACTCCTGGAAAAAAACTATTAATTAAAGTTTACAGGGAAAAGTGTCCTGCACAAAATAACTACAAGCATACATTGTATAAAATTAAGATTTAAGCCAACCTTGCAATAATTTGCTAGAGAAATATATTTTCCCAAATACTACAAACTTGCATCTTTACATTTATTACAAGTATTAAACCCATTATTACAGAGCCTAATCTGTTTTAGGGCTTGAATGGCCATATGRTTTGCTTAAAACTCAATAAACCACTGTAACATGATCACCTACCATTGCCACAAGCAAGTCAAGACTGCAGCAGGAGGCTTTAGAGTGTTCACATGGTCATCCAAGGATAAAAAGGGAAGCTCTTAATTCTCCAGAATGGTATTTGTTGCATTTGCAAAGGAATCACACTTGGAAAAYGCAAATTTAAGTGAAGCAAGTTCTAAGAGGAAAGTAATCTTYRTATGTAGCCATTAWAAAACCYCAAATTTTATTAAAGGTGACAACAYTGTGATTMGAAACCAATTACAAAACTACAAGAACAAAAATCAGAGGTTAATTAAGATATCCAATTATTTTCACAGATGTAAAGAGAATATAAAACTGACGGAAAAAGTGCAAAGTAAAGACAGTCATAGCAGTTAAATGTATTTTAGATTATGRATGAACCAATTACACAGACCACTGATAATCCTGCAGCAGCTCTGGAAYAATGATGCTGTGTGACAGTACTCACCGTTTTCAGAAGTCTGGGCTCTACTGTGAGCAAAGTTAGCCCAGCCAGGGATCCCCAAGGTCTCAGAYGTGACTGTCTAACCACTCTTCTGCTGCCATCCTGCCCCAGGCTCACTCTCAGTCTTACCCAGCCCTGCCTGGGTGCTCCGATTCATTTGGAGTTTTCCCATGAAGAAATAACCTTGAGCATCAGCTGCTTCTTTTCTTGCCTCACTGGATTAAGGCTGAGGAACCTGCAGATGAAGGTATTGCACTGCAAAAYGACAAAACAAGTTAAGAACACGCCCACAAAACTGCCAGATTGCCACCTTTGCCAGGAGTCCACAGCAATGAGTCACATCTGGGTGCTTGGGCCCCTTCTGCGTGGAGGCGGCAGCTTCTGCTCTCTGGTATTTCACAGAATCGTGGAATGGTTTGGGTTGGAAGGGWCCATAAAAATCACCTGATTCCAACCCCCTGCCATGGGCAGGGACAYCTTCCAYTAGACCAGATTGCTCAGAGCTCTGTCCAACCTGGCCTTCACACTGACAGGGATGGGGCAGCCACAACTTCTCCAAACAAGGCTTTTAAAGACCTTGAAACATTAATGATCAATATCTGGTCTAACAAATGCATTACTCTTCATAAATCTGAGATCACACTACAGACAGCACCTTGTGCAGCTAAAAAGCTCAATGGGAAAATAATAACCTTTCCTTTAAGGCTACCCCATCATAAGGGGTGACAGTTACCTGCTGAACCATGTGCCATGGTCATTTTTGGCTCTAAATATCACCTCACACCCAAAAGCACAATATCCAATAGCCAGAAATGTACAGCAGGTAGTTTATCACTACAGAAGAGCAATTCCTAAGATTCCTTAGTACAGGATTGACTTGGAAGAGCTTTGCTCACTGATTTTCTTTTCCCAATTTTCTGCAATGTGTTTTTCAGGAGCTTAAGGGGTTTCCCGTCATTTTGTCTCCTGTCATTTCTCCAGCCAGTCCTCAGTCACAGACATTGCTCCAGTTTTAGCCTACAGGTAGGTAATATTTACTGTTCTGATAAAGCCAGCCTCCCATCTCACACCAGGATCAAATTTATCAAGGCACCATCAGACACAGCCAACACAACCCACCTGGCAAAGTTAAATTACTTGATACAATACCAGATAAAAATTAATTAACAAATCATATTTTTAAGTAAGAAGGACCAAAAACCAGATTGTGTCAAGGTATGGACATGTTTTAAAGGATTTCTTGCCYGTGTCATCTGTGTTTCTACACACTCTCTGAACATTTACTGTGGTGGCAAAACTTGAATGCCCCTTGAAACTCAAACACCTCCTCAACCTCCTTAAGAACACAAAGCCCAGCATCCTGCAGCTCTCAGACAAACACAGGATTCTCCCTGGGCTCCCAGGGGTCCTGGAAGGAGATTGAAACTGTGACTTCCAACAGAGAGGGCACTCCAAACCCCGAGCCCAGCAGCATCAGTCTCACACTTTCTGAGCTGGTTGGGGTTGTTTGCATTCCTCAGGTACATTCAGGGAGGTGTGTGCCCAGGCACCCAAAGGGAGGGGTTTGTCTCCTCTCCTCTTGCAAAATCCAATTACCCAAGATCTGCACCAGCTGCTTCGATGCTGTGCTCACCACTTGCTTTCACAGATACCAGAAACATCTCAGGTAACTTTTACAGCTGTCAAAAGGCAGCTGTGAGAACCTGGTTTTACTGTTTCCTTTGAAGAGTTAACAGATTTGTGCTAACTTATGGCTTTCATGAATACAAGGTATTTATTTTAAAGTTCAACAGATACTTAGTTACACAATTCAAACTTTGCAATAATCACAAATTTCCATCAGAAACTTCACTCCATGAATATTAATGAAAAAAGTCATCTTTGTGGAAAAAATCCAAATAACTAGACCTGTAATTTTGCTTTACATTGTTTATCTATACCTTGTGTGTTACAAAAACATTTTTAGATAATTTTAAGATTGAATAATAAAACCCCTGTAGTTTAAAAATACACCTCTGTGTTCTTTCTTTATGTATCTTTTCCCTCATCCCTATCCATATTAAACATGYCATACCGTCAAGTCTTCAATTCTTCACTACATGCTTAGGAAGAGGTTAAAATATGCATTTATTCATGTTAATGAGTGGTAATCTTAAAAAAAGCCTCTGAAGAGGCACAGTAAGGTCACTTCAACATGGMCCAAGAGGGAAAGAAAGGGGGAATGAAGAAATCCTGACAAGTTAAAGAAAAACAGGGAGCTTTCCAACTGTTTGGCTCCTAAGCCACCTTGACAGTCAGGAGCCAGAGCACCCCAGTGAGTAAATGGAAATCTGAAAACCTTAAAGAGCGACTGTTTCAAGTGCTTTGCTTCCACTTCTCCACACTCCTCCTTGCAAAGAATTTAATGGCATACAAAACACTCCTGAACAGAACTGAGCAGACATTTGAAGAGGTTTTTACACTCATTTTATTTGCTGAGTTTGGATAGCATGCATCATTTTACAGCACCGGTAGACAAGTCAGTGAAGAACACAGCTCTTAGAACTTGTACTGTGGAATGTCTCCAAAACCATTACCCGCTCCCCCTCCACTCCAGTACGTAACACTAGCTGAAGACAAGACAGACACACATCAGGGCAACTTCCTTATGGCTACAAATACTCATAGCAGCGACTTTTAAAGAAGGGTTTATTAAATCAAGTCATTGCACTTGGGTCATTTATTGCTATAGCGAACAAAGGCCATTACATAACAAACACCTTCCATTTGTGGCTTTAACTGATTGTCTTGTTCTGTTCATCCTCTACAAATTCACACACAGGCACAATTTCTGCAGAGCAACCCCTTCCAAGATTTGTTTCATGCTCCAATGAATCACAGTGAAGAGCTTGTACAAGAAAATTGGGTACTCCATTCGGCTCAATTCTTGTTTTTCATCACCTCCTTGTGAGGTGTGAATTCCAGGCAAGAGTTTAGTGTCTGATGAGAAGGACATGATTCCTCAATTCATCTGTGATGCACTTGGGCAATTCAAAATTAAAAGCATTAAGAGTGAATCAGCCTATTAGCAATTTGACTAGCAAATATTACTCAATACCTGCAAAGTGTATTAATCAGATTTCATGAACTATTTGAATGAGTAACAGGTAAACATCCCCAATCAGGTTTCAATCAAATTTCATGAACTATTTGAATCAGTAAGAGACAAACATCCCCTAATTGACTTTCTGACATTTCTATTTTATGATACATCAACTGTGGAAAAAGTACACTCTCAAAAAGTAACACTTCAGTGTCACTTGAACAAGTGACATACTGAATAATTACTGTATTTAGGACCACTCCCATRAAGAGAACCTTAATTACTTTCTTTTATTGGTGAAGTTGCCAAACTATGCAGAATGCTTTTGTCTTTTAAATTATAGCAGACCTAAAGGAGATGAGCTGATTACTAACGGAACTAATGCATTTGACTGACTTTCTAAAGCTGTATGCTTTTTAATTCTTTAATCAGACAAACACAGCAATAAATAYCATTGTCCCCCATCACTTTGCATAYTGTGTATTATTCTGGTGCAAGTTTTGAGCCCAKGGGTTAAAGATAATGGTAATCCACAAGATCTCAACCTCTTTTCCATAAAGACACCGTCTTGGACACCAGCACCATGATGTCAAAGCAATTGTTCCAATCACTCATTAAATACAAAGATGTTGCTAAGTTTAGAGGTACGCAATATATTGAGAAAGTTTATGGCATAAATATATAAATATCGAGAGCTTTTGAAAGTATCAAAGTTCCAAAGGGATTTATTTGGAGACATATTATAAACAAAACCAGACTAGTGTAAAAACAGATCAAGATGCATACTGAACCACTAGAAAGACTGATGACTTCAATGCAGAAACACGGAAGTACAGACACTGTGACTTAAGGTTTACTCTTCCATGCTGTATACTATAGTATTTTAGGCACAACAGGTTGAGTTAAGACTGGACTCTAACTCCTTGTTTCTGTATTCCTTGCATTTTGTGGCTTTAACAGTTAATTTTGTCATGTTTCATGATTCAGTCTTAAATCCCTTTTTAATCCAATAGTGCAAGTCACAAACCGTTCTGCTGAACTACTCAGATTAAATCATTCCATCTTTCTACAATGCATAGGAGTTTCACCTGCTTCATTGCACTAACAAATTCCTATCTCATTACTCAACTTATGAACAGCATAGTATTAATATTCTCACTGCAGACAGGCACAACAGCATAATCCTGGGTAAAACTGCCAAAATTATACAAATATCATATATTCCCTTTTGCRTGTAGGGGAAAAGTAGTGACTACAATTACGATACAGTTATTCCATCCCTTCCAACAGACTATTTTACAGATTAGTTGCAAAGACAGATCACCCTATTTATAGTATAGATCTCTTTAAAAGTTAAGCTACAGGTATTCAATAAAAATCTATTAAGAATTCCCTCTCCTTTCTATACAGATTCAGTAGTATTTTCAAGCAAACCAAAAAAATAAGGTCTGCAATTCCAGCACAGTAAGAAATAAGGCCTCTTTTATATTGGCAAAAAAATTACACCATTATTCTTTTTTGTTTTCTTATCTCTCTGAATATAAGACTATATTCCTGGTTTTTTTTTACTATCTTTTTTCTTTAAGACTGTAGAACACCAGCATCCATTATAATGAAATAAGAGTCAGTTCTCCTTGTGTTCAGCTTTAAATTCCTGGCRAGTTAAAAACATTGAGTCCATAGCTGTCTCATGTAGACATCACTGCTTTCTTCAATTTTTCTATTTCAAGCTGCAAAAATGGACATTTTGAAAAGAAAGTCAGTATTCAAGTAACTATAAAATCTTCAGAGTTTTTACCAAAGTTATAACCTTTACATTTGAAGGACATTTCAGTATTGGACCATAGAAGCATTTGASAGCTCAGTATTTACAGCTGATTTTGTACCACTATATTGCTAAATAAACAGGAATTTAAAATAATTAAAAATTTGCCTACAGTTCTGGTATAATTATTTTTAAAATAACAAACCCCTCTGTTTTATAAAYCAGTTTGTCTGGATAAACTCTCTCTGAAAGAAGTAGTCAAAGCTGGGTTATGGAATCATTGACATGCGCCCATGTAATGCTGCCCCATCMCCTCAGAGTAACTTCTTAAAACAGCCTTCATGAAAAACACTGCCAAGATTAATTTGTATTTCTTCAAATGGACTTAGAGGACATCTGGAAGTCACCTTCTCCTCATCTCCACAGCMTATTTAAGGCAGTTTCATTGATTGCTTTAGAGACACATAAAAGAGAGGCTCACCAGAAGATTTTCTYATGTGTCTACAAGTAGCTTTGTAGCCAGTAAGATGCACTGTGTCACAAATAAAATGGCCTTTTGTACCACACTAAAATAATTTCCTACAATGAGTTCATTCTAYTAACTACTTAATGGTATCATACTGCACTGCAGGTAGTGTTATTCATCAATAAATTCAGGAGCAGTGTTCATTCATAAGGAAGTTTTTTAGACACATTCTGCTCTTTTGGCAAATTATCTACACTTAGTATTTAAAGAATTCATCAAAAATTTAGAGGTTTACTTTTGCCCCGAGTTTTGTTTACTTATCTAAATTAAATAGGTCTTTCAATCTTACAAATGCAATGTATTAAGTGTCCCTGTTGAAACTTGTCCAGTTGGACATATTTTTAGCAAAGAGCACAATCCAGCAACAYTAAACTGACCTCCCATCCTAACACCCACACATATTGTTACAAATAATATTCAACAAAAAGAAAGTTGAACTTGGATCTTCTCTATACATCCAAATGCCTCATGAGACATTGATTCAMTCACAAACTAAAACAGCAACACAAGAAGAGACTGAACAGGTTTTCCTGTGACATCAAATTCCAGAACAATGCCTACACACCCCTAAASCACCCATACCCTCCCAAAGCTGTAACATTACCTCCAGATTGCTTCGCAACAGCTTCTCTTCTTCCAAATCCTTCTTTAGTTTTTCCAGTTCCCTCCTAATAGGAGTTAACATAGAAATAGAAGTTAGAAGGGAAGAAGAAACATCACAATACTGAGGACAGGATGCACAGGCCTTGTTTAAATTTTRCACATGGAATTCACATAAGCAGGCACATGCCCACCAGTGAACTGCTATTCACATCTGTTGGACCATAAGATTTCACCATCTCTCAACAYTTCTTACCTTTAGCTATGCACCTATCCCTGATTTTTAACCCCAATTTAAGGAGGCTGCTTAGAAGTTTGTAATGTTATTTAATCTGGAAAGTTGAATTTAAGCTAAAATAATCTAAAATCACCTGGTGACTTCCAGACAGAGAACCAATTACTTGGAACACAAGGTTCCTACTAGTCATGTCAATACTACAAATACTTGGGCACAATGTAACAGAAGGCCTGCACATGTACTTATGTATTACCACAAAAAATTACCTACTTTTCCTAACAATAAAAAGACAAACTGTTTAAAAAATACTTTCAAAAAAAAAGTCATGAATGCAGGAGTGCAAAGTAGGAGGGAAAAAATGCATACAAATTCCAAAAACACTCTGACATCAAATTTGTGCTATTTAGTAGGATATATTTGTGATAATTAGTAGGACCAATTTAAATAGGAAAGATTTTAAATTAATACATTAACATGTTACTAGGATGGAACAGTTTTCCTAAAGTCTGGCAATAAAGAAATTTATAATCCTTTGCAGATTGACMAAGGAAATATTTACCCATGTTCTTTTTTCAGGGCGTCTACTAAACCCATTAAATCATTAATCTGAGTCCTGAGCTCTTCCACAGAAATTTTYTCATCATCTGTTTCTCCTTTAAGTTGGAGGTCTCCAGGTAAAAAGTCGAGTATGACAGAACTTGGTCTCTGAGATGAAGGTGGAATCAATGGGCTGAACGCAGATGGCTGAAAAAATAAATCAGCAGAAAGATAAGTGAAATCTTTATGAACTGAGCAGTTACAGCACACAGGTTATACCAAGATGGGAGCTAAACAAACACAAATTCCCTAATTTTCTACCTAAAAGGTAAAACACAGAGTCCACTTCAAATGGACTAATGTAGTAGATGAGATTACTTTATACAAGTCTTAATTAAGGATTTATCTGAAGTTCCTGCAGTCACCCAAAAAAGAACTCACATTGCTGCCCTCTACACTTTAAAAAATAAAAAGTGATTTAATGGATCCCACTGGATCTTTATAAATCAACCTTTYGTCCTTTGCTGATCTGCTCAGCTGTTCTGTCTGTCAGGAGACTAAAGGCTGAGTAGATACAGAACTTATTTGGGAAATACCACTTGATACAACAGTTCTCATCAGAACTCATGMACTCTGTATGTATAAATGAACTCCAACACTGAATCTCCTACTGTAGACTTTATTCTAAATGACACAGCTCACTGGTACTCAAATACAAGCACTGTTCATTTAGATGGGTGCATCAAGCTGTACTGGAAATGCAAGCAGGATGAACARAACACCAAGCTGCCTGGTGCTCCTCTGGCTCTTAGGTATCATCATACCTTCTTTGTTTCAACTGGCTTTGGTTTGGCACTTTCTTCTTCTTTCTGCACCTTCAAATTTTTTTCTGGACTCATATTTTGACTTGCCTGGTAAACCATTCATAAAGAATGAAAAGATTTTCAGAATTTAAAAAAAACGTAAATTAAAAAGAAACAGAAAACAAAAAACAACAACCAAAAAAACCCAAACAAACACACACCCAAAAAAACCCCCAAAAAAACCCACCAAAAAAAAAACCCAAAACAACAAAAACAAACATTTTAAAATATTTCTAAAAAATTCAATACTAAAGGGAAAAAACCAAATAACTCAAATTAAATTGCTACACTAGCAGAGTTTTTTGTCCCTGACAGTCAGAATTTTCCTTCCTCATATTCAGCAGAACTGAAATCAAGTACAGGAATCTTGGGCAGGATTTTCAAGTGTATTTCCAATACTTAAGTCTGTAATGCTTTTGGGAGCTTGTAGTTGCTTCCACAAAACACAAATGGGCAGTAACTGTAGATGGCAACTGGTGTGGCTGAACTATGTAACATCCAATGACAAAAACTGATTTCAAGGRCTCTGCATCACCTCTCATTGTCTGCCAATCTCACATCAGCACTAAGGTCACAAAWCCCACGTTACAGCAGCATTAAATTACAAATTTATAGCTGTCAATTGTCAAAGCCACTAAAGACACTTTCAGAGCTGTGTGTGTGCACAACACCCATTTCACCATCAGTGATGCCAGAAGAGCTGAGTATTTCCTGCAGCAACACCCCATGGAACAGAAAAACTCCTTCAGCTGCAACACAGCTCCAGTTGTTTTTCTTTCATTCATTTCCCTCCACACAAAATAGGAACTGAACCTCTGCAGCATTTTGCTCTCAGGTAAATGGCTCACGAGACTGTTACCCAGGGCAGTTCTGTTCCCTGGGAAGTTAGTTTGTAGTTTCCTAGGAGAACACYCCAAAATACTCACAGGACTACTGCTATTGAAACGGGAAGGCAGCCTCCTACCAGGCATCTTGGGCCGGCTGGCAGTTGGGTGTGACAGATTATCTGAGGTAGCTATTACATCATCAAAGCTTAACACATCTACAAAAAGAAGAAAACACAGACTACCATCAAGACCAGAAGGTTTTGMTGTGTTTTTTTAATCACTTTTTTCTAACTTAAGAAACAAAAAAAGAATTATCAGAATTCTTCTTATTSTTTCAAGGATTTACAGCATAATACAACACAAGAGATATTTCAAACAACTGCATGATTTTGACATATCAGGAAAATTGTATTTTCCACCTTGGAAAAAATTAAAAGTTAATTCAACTAGAATTTAAATTCATATTAAATTCAAGTTAATTTATGTTAATAGAAGAAATGCTCTAGCAACATGGCAGCATCTGCAGAAAATATATTTATTACTTTTCCTAAGAGCTGCCATGTTCAACTACTCAAGAGCATATTTTCTTGTCACTGAACTTATATGAAAAGCATGAAAATGCGAGTTTAGTGACTAAGACAAAAATAAAAGCAACATAGTACAATACATAGTGGTGTAGTCCTCAAGTTGGTGAAAGTAACAAGACCTATGTCTATGCAGAGTAGTTTTTTTTCACATATAGTACCTAAGGATAATACACAACTTCATAAAGACTTTAATTAAATACTTCAAAGCTGCACTCTTGTGCTTCATTCAATCACACAGATCTCTTTGCTCATTAGTCTCTTTATGTTCACAGTTCTAGGTAAACTCAGATAAGCAGAAATGTTTTACATCCTCTGGGRGAGGCAACTTTAGGAAAAAAGTTGTTAATAGGAAGAGCTATTATAACTAGTCCTAGTAACAGAAATACCTCACCTAGATAACAACAGGACTTCTTAACCTTTTCTCCACAAAAATAAATATACTTACCTGGCAACAGATGTTTAGCAAGATTGTGTTTTTTATTTAAGCATTGATATAAAATTACAGTTATTACATATCATTTTACAACCCAAATTCATCACTTATTCTATAAACTGTAACTAAAATGCCACACAGCATTTACTACAGGTACCACAAGCAACATTCAGGATTTTGGGTTTSATTCTTTTCTGGTGACCAGTTTGATTCTTAAATGACATTATGATTTAGCAAACAGAACCTATGATACCTCTTCTACATTCTCATTAAAGGTCAGATAAGAAAAAAGCCTGGGGTACACTGAGTCAGACCATTCATACCCCTTCAATGTCTGGATGATTTAAACTCATCTGATTAATGCAAGTTTTACTCACACATTGTCAGAGCTAATTTATACCAGTAAGTACTATTTTTTTTATTGAATATTTTAACTGATTTTATGTATGCTTTGCATTAATATCCTTGAAGTCCTTAGAATATTCACTTCTTTTGGACAGCCCTCAYCAAATCTACTTCATCACCCATTCCCTTGTTGAAAAGAAAACATTCATAGCACTGTTACCAATCAGTTTTGCTGCTTTTTACTTCTACTCAAGAGAATGTCAAGACAGTCTTTTGCAAACATGCAATCACACCTGCAATTAAACAAGCAGGGAGGAAAAAAAAAAGAAGGAAGAAACAGAAGAGTGATGAATGGCAAGCAGCTGATGGAAAAGGAGATGAGGGACAAATAAATGTGAAGGGATTTCTGTTCTAGTTTGTGCCAATAAAATATTTCACTTAATACATTGCAAGCAGCAGTGGCCAAGGGGTGTATCTTTATGGTCTTTTCTCAATTATCAGTAATCCCAGAGCACTAACCTGTCACAGAATGGTTTGGGYTGGAAGGGACTTAAAGATCACCTTGTTCCACYCTCCTGAAATGGGCAGGGACCCCTTCCACTAGACCAGGTTGCCAAAGGGTAAATCAGGATTTACCTTAGTTAGGTATCATTAAAAACATAACCCCCCATCTCAGTAATTTCTGATTTTAAATGATCATTCTTTTGTCATTCCACAAAAATGACAAACCATTTGGCAAGAAATGTAAGTAAGAATTGTAAATTTAGTTGCTATTATATTTGCAATGCCAGTCCTGTCTCGACAATCAGCAAACATCAGGCATATTAAAACTATATTAAGAAAAACTTAAAGTTGGAGAAAAAAATCACAATATTTCAAAAGGCTTGGAGATGAAGACTGCTATAGTCCTGAACAGTGTATTATTTAAATGTCGGATGACACCAAAGCCAAGGATTTTTTCTGTATTTCTAAGAGCTTCTAAAGGAAATTGCTACACCTGAGAGAAGTGCTAAGCATTAAGATATTGCCAGCAGATTAAAGTCAAAGGGAATACTGTACTTGTATTTTTGTTTTTACTTATCCAATTTATTGTTTTGGTATAGGGGAGGAAATTAAAACACAGGTTGGTGGGGATTGGGTTTGGATTTGGTGGTGGTGGTGGTAGGTTGACCAGTTTTACTGAGGGTTTAGGGAGTTYATTTGATAGTTTTTTCTTTTTAAACAACATTTTTAGTTATTTTAGAGAAAATAAAACCAATAAATCATTAAACCAATAGAGATACTGGGGAAACCCACTGGAAATTCACAGTCTATACCCATTTCAATCAATGAAGTGATTTATCAATTACGGATTCTTACAGACAGCCTGTGAGCAATTGTTAAATGAAATCTCATCATAGTGCCAAAAGAGCAACACCACACAACTATGGATAATCTGGGTCAAAAAAGGACTTTATGGCTGAGCAAGAGCACCTTTCTTTCTAAGAAGATGAGCTAAGCTGAAGTTACATAGGATGGTCTGTTAGAAATGTCTGTTCTATTTTACCATGGATCCACCACAGAGCTGTTAGGAGCTTTGACAGGTACAATTAGACAAGAGGTTAAGATTGTGAATGCTTCAAGGTGTATTCATAGCAGTGTGTCTTAAAAAGCCTTCACAAAAAGAAGCAAAGCTGAAGGGTGGCTGAAGAAATCATGGTTCYACCATCTCATGTGGCCTGGGTTTAAATGCTCACAGTAAAAGTGAAACATATCTGGTATTTTACAAGACAATAACTCACATTAATCTGTGGAGTAAAAAGGTGGCACCCTTTCTCCTATTATTCATCTTGCTGAGATTTCAAACCAAAAATTTAGGGGACAGTTATAGGCTATAAAGTATTTAAGTGCTCAAAAGCTTCATGATGGTGTTATTTGTGTGTACAGAGTGATAAAGCCATTCAGCCTACACACACCAGATGTGCTAAAGGTACTGAAAACATTTCATTACAAACAAACACMAAGTTTGGCTTATCAACAGCTGAACTGTAAACTTTTTCTTACTTTCCTTCCCCACCAGTTCCTAATGGAAACGTCTATTTCAAGTAACTTCTTTAGCAGCTAAGGAAAACAGGCATTCAAACAAACAAAAAAAGAGTGCATTTTTAATAGAAACCCCAAAATTTTAGTACCAATAATTGCAACTGAAAACCATGCTCACGATGTTAAGAAGAGGATATGTGTATGGAATAAAGCATTTGGATTTCCTTAGAGATTGTTATCTTACCAAAATGGAGAAGGGTAGGGTAATTTCCTGACACGTAAGAAGGGAAACATGGCAAACAGGATAGGAAACAAAATCTGGAAAGAAAAGTCAAGGAGAGGAATGTCTAGAAAAAGATTCTGAACAAAAAAATTATTTCACAAAGCAGGAAAAAGAAACATTTGTAGAAGAAACAGAATTGCTTTACATGTTCAGCATGCCAGCATTACAGCTTTAGTCTCTTACAGTACTTGATTCTAGTCAAACAGAGAAACATTTATGCAGTTTTTAAATAAAGCTTCAAGAGTTATCTCAATGTGATCAATGTTTCTAAATGGTTTTGATTATTTGTGCTTATCTGATGGCTGGGGACTTAATTTTGGTATGGGGGGATTGTTTTTTTTTTTCCTTTCAGAATAYTTACAGCTTCTCTTTATGCTAAACTGAAAGTAGCTCAACCTACACCACACTTCAGGGTCTATCTAAGCTCCAAAAAAACAGGACCCATATTTTAAAAATAACTGATTTCCTAAAAATCATCCACCTCAGGATCATAATCTAAAGAGGGGGAGAAGAATTAAAAATAAAGAATCTGGTAAAGCAGTTGCCTGCCCCAGCCATCTGTCTACCCTCATTTTTTAATACCTATTCCAGTTTTTGTAAAATTCAACAGTCTTAARCTTTATAGAAGGACCCAACATCTTCTTTTTTATAGTTATATATAGTCTTGGCTGCACAGAGTATTATGTCTTTAGCAGCAGAATATATAGAGAATTAGAGTATGAGATTCATTACAGTTTACTCGCAGGAGTTTGGATCAATCTCTTTTCACAAGAGTGAAACAAGTCACAAGTGACTTAGATTGTTTTAAGGAATCTCAACTTTGACAAAACAGAGGATTTTTGAAACTTTCTTTTATTAACAGCTCCTTGACCCCATCAGTGCTGCAGCCCCACAAGAAACTGCCTGAGCCTCCTTCACTTGCTCTGCACCAAACAGCACTGAACAGACCCCACCCATGGACCTGTTGTGCACCTCTGCCCCATGAAGGTATTAAAGTCTTTATTCTCTCTATAAAAAAACTATGTTAGCAAAACAAAATTMATGTTTTTTTCTAAATCTGTATTTTTTTTGGTAGCACCGAATATTAGCTTATACATGACTACCTAGTATCACAGGTATCATGTTGCCACCCTGGTTATTAAAGATGTTAAGATAATTGAATGAAAAGAAAAAAAAATATATTCCAGCTGTTTTCATAGGGACTTTTTTCCTGATGTTAAAGGACACTTTGCTACACAGTAACATACCTAGCACAATTCCAGAAATATAATAATAGAATTTATTACACTAGCTAGATAGCTAYTAATCATAGAATGGCTTGGGTTGGAAGGGAACTTAAAGATCATCACCTCCACTACAAGAGGTTGCTCAAAGTCCGTCCAACCTGGCCTGGAACACTCCCAGAGATGGGGCAGCCACAGCTTCTCTGGGCARCCTGTGCCAGGGCTTCACCACCCTCATAATAAAGAAATTTATTCTAGTATCTAATCTGAGTAGCATAACTTGCATATTAAAAACACACGTGAACTAACCTTTCCTCATATAAAGCATTCACACTTAAAAAGCGTATTTTAACATGTTCAATGAAAAGAAGTCAGGAGTATTCTTTTCTATTCATAAACTGCTTCAGTTCTTTTAATGCATTATTTTTATCTTCCAGATGAATTTATTATACTTTAGGACCAACTACTCTACAACCAGAATATCATAATTAAATTAATTAATAGTATTTTAAAATTTATTATTACTAAAATCTTTTCTGATGTGAAAAGTTGCATTTGAGATACGCAAGATGAACACTGCAGGTATAATTCACTCCAGCTTTTTTTTTTAAGTGGTTAATCATGAAATAAAAATAATTGAGAGTTTAGAAAACTATGCCCACAGCAGCTGATCTCTGCCTAAGTGACAGACACAAGTCAGGTATCMGTTGCATTGTCAGTAAAGGGCTGATGGTATCACTACAGCAGCTCAGAGATTCTGATCATTAAATGTGGCTGCTTTAGTCACTATCAAGGGTTTTACTGGATATATTTGGAATTAAAGAGATGCCAGATTTGGCTCAAAGTGCTTTAAGCAAAGCCATAAGCATGCTTTTCAAATGCACAGCGTTCCTGCTTCTTTAAGGCCCAAATTTAAGGTATGATGAAAACCTAGAATAGCTCTGAACTAAACCACAGGAGGCTGAAGGTAATGGCATTACTAAGAATTCTCAAGTTAGCTAAAAAAGCAAAGTTGTCTGAGCTGCAAGAGCAGAACAAACTGAATTAGCCATTAAGAAAAACAACTTCAGAAAAACTCAAAAGTGGCAGCAAAAAAACATGCTTTCAAATTAGAAGAACAAACCATCACCTACATTTCTCTCTGCCCACTGTTACAATCCAGAACTCACCAGCTATCTGCAAACATCCTACTGACATCTGTTCATCCCCTCCTGATTCTTACCTTCAGCTACTTATAGCACTTCTAAAAAAATACACAGGCATAAATGCACTCAGTGGCATTTTGAGTAAATCACTCAAAAAGCTTATTCCAACCCTGTAAAACACAGCAATCTGAACAGAAAGGCMCAAAAGAACATTTCTTTCCTTACCTGATTCTTTAGAGCTCTTTATCACGAGTGAATCTACCTCTACTGATTTTGGTCTGAGTGGTAATGGTTCAGAGTCTAACTTTGGTTTTGCTACTGGCTCAAATTCAGATTTCGGTCGAAGAGTAACAACTTCTCCATTTGTTCTGTCATAAGAAAAAAAAAAAAAAAAAGACACAACATATCTACTTAAGAGATAAAATAGCTTAAAAGGGAAACATACCAAGAATTAGAATTTCAATTCAAATTGAAAAATTACAGATTTTACCACTTTCTAAAACCCTGTTTTAAAATCAAGGCTTTTGGAGATCAATTCTAGCTATGAAAGCCAATTCCTCTGTTCCAGCCCTTAAAAAGTTGTCAGATGTGTACAAAACCATTATGAATATAACCTACAACTTTTACTTTAGGACACACTTTGGTACTTCAGTCCAAAATACTATACTTCAGAAAACAGGTGAGCTGAATAACATTTTCAGTAATACCTCTTGAAATAATTCAGAAACTGATTTCTTGTCATTAGAGAAATCTTCCTGTACAAGGGAAAAGCTGACAAGAACAAGATATTTCTTGCTGGGTATAGATAAACCTACCTTTTATATACAGAATTTATTCTATGATGCATTTTTTGCATATCTGCTCACATCATTCATATWCCAAAAACACCCCAAAACAATCAAAAATCACAAAAAATAAAAACCCATCAAAATAGATACACAAACGAAAAAACCCAAACAGGTAACATTTTCCTTTACAATTCTTGCCATCACAAACCCATACTGACTGGGGCTGATCACTTGGTTGGCCTGTACATGCCATGTACAAACTATCCCTGTCATTAATTAACCTCCCAAAGCCTTTAAGTTTTATTGCAGTAGAAAAAAGAGACAGCAGACAGATCTTCCTATAACAATGTTAAACTTTCAGACATTTAAATATCTCTAAGATTTAAAGGTTTCAATTATTAAAGGCCCACAGCTCACTACACACCTGTATTTAATTGCACATGTAAATCCCTTGAGAGCAATAATTCTTTTCTAAGCTGGAAGGGAACGTGACTTGTGGTTTTAAAAGAAATCATCTTTACTTGGGAAAGTCTCCAAAATACCAAGTGAATGTAACACAATTCTATACTAAAAAGGTACTTAAGGTACAAGCTCTTGATGTAGCAGCTGCCTGCTTTATTTGCACAAGGCCAAGTGTGTCACAACCTCACTTTCTCATGGTTCCTCCAAGCCAACTGAACATCCCAAAGGGATTATTACCTGTCAGCAGTTTGTTTGCACTTCTGGGTAAGGGTCTAGCAAATACTTTGATGGAGACAGAAAGGAAAATTCTATRTGTGAGAGATTGTATGGATGCAAAATTAGTCAAAGTTTCAAAGYCACAAGGAAAAAAAAATTAAGTGGATCTAAAAGAAGTATTAGTCCCTATTTATCCAGCAACTCAGCTGAGAAGGGACAAGAGTGGAGTCTGAACATGGCTCTGTAGTGTTTCCTTCCCCAGAARACAAGAGCCACACTGAGTACCTTTAGCACAGGTAAAATCTGTGCTCAGTTCTTCCTTTCCACCTATCTTACCCTATATAAAGTGCTCAAACCTTGAACTGAGTTTGAGCAGTTGAACTTGAACACTGAGGCAGCYCAAATTTTCAGGGTGTTTTTCAAAACAGCAATTCTCAAGGGCCATGCCCACAGATTCTTTTTTCCACCCTGTTATAGTACCTACAGCAGCCCCCTGTGCAACTTCATCACAGTCAGTTATGTTCTAATATTGACTGTGAGATGGATTCAATACCTCAAAGGATTTGAAAGGTCTAAGTTCACACTGACAGAGACTTGGAGAACCAGGACACTGGAATGTGCAACACAAAACTTATCCTTGCATTCTTTTCACCCCTAAAAAAACACATTCCTTCCCAACTCATCCCTGGAGGAAGGTCMAACAAATCAAATCAAATCTACTTGGTGTGTGCAGTTTAAATCATACTGACTTGGATGCAGATGATGGCAAACCAGGTTTGTCTGGACGTTTTGGGTGCAGGAGCCCTGCTCTCAGTAAGCTGTTGGTCTTGYTTGGAGGAATAGGCTTCTTGGGTGGTACTTGAGGAGCTTGTGGCTTCAAAGGCTTCTGATCCARAGTTCCTTTTTCATCTGACAAAATAAGTCACATTTTAAAAACTCCATGTTGTAGCATTCTCACACTGCTAATCAATTAGAAAGCAACTGCTSTCAGAAATAGCTTCTTTGAAGATCAAAATGAAAAATAGATATGCAAGCATTTTAAATGATACCTTACCAAAACATGCAAACTACTTACCTGAGCCCAAAAAGATTTATCTTTAAGTAAGATAAATCTTCCAACTGACATGAAACACTAGTAATAAATTATGGATTCCCATTATTACACTGCAAATGACAGCTAAGAACAAAAAAAACCTTTGTACTGCTTTGTCTTTTCTATGAATTCATTTTATCTCCTGTTGAAGAGGTAGTTTTTTATTCTGTTGTAACTACACTTCTTACACACACAAGCATCATAATTTATCTACAGAAAAGCGGAGGGATGGGGGTCTGAATAGCTGAATTTATTTTCTCTAAAGTGTACCTTCCTACAGATAGATAGAAATTAGGTGTGGAAAATAAGAACAAAGTTGCATTTACTCRTTCAATAACTGCATGACCTAATTGAATCCTGTCCAGAGGAGCTGACATACAACACATGGGGCACTGAAAAATTCAAGCTGCTTCACAAGTAATAGTTGAATAGCTTTCAACTCATGTGTCCTAACTCCACCCTCTGCATAGCCAAAGCAAACCCTCTACTTTTCCCTGTGAAACCATGTTATAGTTCAGTATACACAAAGAAYTGAGGATTTTAAAAACCAATTTTTAGGTTACTGCAAAGGGTTACAGTTCTTTACAGTTACTGCTTTATAGGGCAGCATATCAGTAAACTGGAACACAGAGAGTGACCTTCAGCTTTGCTTCTCCCCAATCTCCCCTCCCTGTGATTTGCTTTTAACCAAGTATTGATTTGATGTAAAATGTTTACAGATGCTATGGATTTGGGAGCAGGGTTGGATATTTGCTGCAGCTCCATGTCAGCAAAGTGCCTGATCTGCCAGGTCTAGGACTGATTTCCTTTAAACAAGTCCTGCAGCCACTGAGCATCASCCCTCCGATCCTAAAAAGGGGAAGAGGCCAATTTTCTTTCACAGGAATATTGGGAAGTAAATAGATCCTAGAGATACTTCTGTCAAAAGCACTGTCCAGAGGCAGAATTGTCTTCCTGCTTYGGGACACCTGAACATCAGGAGGAGACAGGAACAAAAAATTGAACCTAGTTAGCATCTCCTCCTCATTTCTCTTAGCATGGAGTTAAAAAGCCAGGATGCTGMAGCAGTGGAAGGATTTGCCACACGGTGGGGCTGCCTGCCCTGTGCAAAGCAGCCCAGCAGCAGCACAAATACAATCCTGCCTCCCCACAAATACACAACATTTACAGCTCTAAACACCAACACCAGCCAGCACTAACYGCAGATCGATTGGTTTTAGTGAAGCTACGCTGAGCAGAAGTTGAGAATTACCCTCTTTGCTTTYAAAAATAAGTGAGTTCGCAAACAGGGCAGAAAAAAATGCTGTAATCAAATCCTATTCCTGAATTCACATCTGTYAGTTCTCCCTTCTAATACTCCCACTCAAAATCTGAACACAAAAAATGTCTACAGCTAAGTGGAAAAAGTTAATACCAAAGGCCAAGGTTCAYCATGAGCATAGAAACTGGGCATTTCTGCTGGACAAAATGACAYGTCTTTTTTGGATTTTACTCCTCAATGAAAAAGAGGATAGGCTAAAAATAAACAGTTTAGTAATGGAAATAAAGATACAAATCTGAAGACATTTACACTGGACAAAAATTTCTACGTCATACCACTAAGTGTCCTTCACTATAAATACAGAAAGACTTACAAAAAACACTTCTTTTACTTTTTGATCAATTTTTATTGCAATTAAATGCAGATTTATTAGTATCCCAATAGGCATTAAAAATGACATGGTTTGATAGCTTCTGATTAGAGCTGCTCAATTAGTATTTTTCTGAGAACTAATAGCAGAACAATTTCATACTTGATTTAGTAAGTTTAACTACTAATATTAACATGGTTGTCTTTCCACAAGTACAACTGCACTGAAAATGGGCATATCTTCCAGTAAAACACTAGTGTTATCTAAAAAAGTAACTTTTATGGCCTGATCTGTAACTGAATACAGGACAAGCTTCTTCTCCACCATTTCCTGTAGCTCAGTAAAGGAGAGTTCTCTACCTTATGTAATTCCACATGAGCTTTCACATTCCTATGTATTTTGGATAGGATTTTTGTCACTCTTTTTTCCTATATTCCTCCATGAACAGCTGAGCTCAACTATGCAAAGTTTAACACTATAGTACAAACAGAACCAGTTTAAAATAAAATTTGCTTCAGTTTAGAAGGACTTTGAAAGAGCTAAGTGATCAACATTTTTGAAATCATACAGTTGATCTCAATTCACACCTGAAGCTCCTGCTCCAACAGATAAAAATTACTGGATTGCTCACATACAGAACAAATAACTGATTTAACAAGTGTTTTTCATGTGCAACAGTTGAGAAGATGCCTTGTTTAAAATGGGGKTTATAAAACCTGCCCAAGGAAGCCAAGAAACCCATCAGCAGCCTCACTTGTAGAAACACTGGTCAGCCACAGTTCACCATTCACAGGGCAGAGTGGGTTTGTAATTTGCTTAAACTGCAGTGACATCAGAATTTCTTCTACAAGGCCCAACCAGCATGTTTGTTTAAGCTTCTCACTTTTAAGCACAATCAAAACATTTTCACTTCGCAAATTTGTCAAACATGGAGAAAAGCTTTTTAGAAATCTGTCTGGGTGATAGATTAATAGCTTTGCCTCAGAAAAACATGGCCTTTAAATTCTAAGAATAAAGCAGTAAATGTCTCGAAATTCAGTGGAACCTGAAAATACGGAATATAGTACGAATTAACAGGACAAGAAATCTCTATTTCTGAGCATTATGACTGGAATACCTGTCTAAAGAGTGTTGTAACTGTTCTGTGTGGTTCTTTCAAAATATTTTTGATCAGACTGATTTTTGCCAGAACACTGAGAAGCAGCAGTTAGCCTTTCCCTTTCTAACAACTTACTATTGCTGTTCAAAACTGCAGTCACTGTCACAAAACTACCCTTTCATGAATTTAATAGTAACTGTTATTATGCAGTGCAACAACCAATTTTCAGAATATAATGCAATAACAAGAAATAAACATTGCAAAAGGGTGTAGCAGTTCTTCTATAGCCCCTCCAAAGATATTTCTGTAACATCAAAAACACAACAACTTCAGCAGATGGTATCAAGCCACCATGAAGAAAAGTGTCCTTACCTTTYTCTTCAGGCCTCAAAGGAAGGAATTTCTTCTCTGCAGTTGGCAATTCAGGTCTTGCAGCTGAATGCAAAAGCAAACCATAGACAGTTCTCAAAGAGCTTTAATTACCTTGGTCACTAACTAAAAATAAGACATATACACCAAGCTGTGTTTTCTCTTTTGCAAGGAGTGAACACCATTTACAAATACTCATTTGAGCCCAGAAAATTGTAAGCCATTATTAAAATGTTTCCAAAGTAGGCTCCATCATAATTTTGAAAAATATACAGCAGCAGCAAAATACATACAGTACAAAAAGTAACCTCAACGTGTGAATACAGGTGGCTGCATTACTAGGAAATAAAAAGCCACTTCTAAATTTTCTTTTGAAGTCATGCACTGCTTCTGAAATTTATTATTTTTYAGACCACCACACATAAGAGTACATACCTGGACTTTTAACCGGAGGTGGAGGTTTCTTTGGCTTCTGCAAAATGGAAGGGGAAAAAAAACCCAAAGTCAAACAAGCAATCAAACAGATTCTCTGTATCCAAGACAGCCTCATTTGTGTTTTGTTTTGCATACCGTAACGTGGAGCTTGTTTACCAGCTGATTTCAAAGTATTTCACAAAGGAGGCAATCAGTTCACAGACAGGAAACACAAAGACCTGGAACAATTTCTCTGATATCTCCCAGACAACCAGTTAAAAAAATTCAGGTCTGTTCAAATGAAATCAGTGCCTCAGCAATGWGCATAAACAGAGGCAAAAATAACGAAAACCCAAGAATTTCATCTTTTCTAGTCCAAAGAATTGCTCTGATCACACTCATTTTAATTTCAATATGTAAGCCTCAATCATTGTTAATGCAATGCCAGTTTTAAAAGAGTAACCAGGTAAATTTTTGAACAAAAAATGTTCACTTTCACTAAAAAAAAAAGATTTCTAAATTAAGTATCAGAGGAATGAATGGCTTCAATTAATTGACTCTTACATTGCAAGTCTAAGAAAAAAGAATAGACYATGGCAGCATTTGTCTCAAAGTCTGCACTTACAAGAAAGGCATTGATTTGAGCTTCCTTATCACCATATATTTAAGTGGGAAAGATGGACAAACTATGCCAGTCATTAAAAATTTACCAAGTAGCACAACGCAACAGTTTGTACATTTAAATGACTATTTTGAAACAGTCACTCATCACTTTTACTCCCCTTAATGATACACTTGAAGTTGAATTTCTCTCCTGCTGAAGAAAGACTGGTACCTCTCAGGGCAGATCTCAACCACCCATCCTCAGAATGTGATTCATGAAATTGTTCTAGAAGARGTGTCTTTATGGTTGTACTAAGGACAAGGTTCCCTGATAAAATGATACAAAAGCCTACAAAGCCACTTGTTCTTTATACAAGAACTGCTGAAACCATATGGGCTCAGTCTAACACAACCCCTCCAAAAACGCCTTCCTGTGGGTATTTTTAAARCAGTTGCTATGGATGGATTTCACTTCTGTGCCCCTACAGCTATTGAATAAGCTTTTCTTGATGCCACAAGATTTTATTCTGACATGTAAATGTAACAAAGCAAGCTGGAGAACCCATATTCAATTTCTTTCTCTTGTTTCACAGGAAACAAAAGTGAGTRAACTTAAGTAACAAGTATTTTCTTTCTTTCTTTCCCAAAAAAGCAACTACATTATCCAGCTGTGCTACACCAACAATTAAACACAGTTCAGCATCAACCTGCCTCTAYATGGTTCTGGTCTGTTTATTTATGAAGTCTGTATCAAATAGCTGATTATGATCACCAGCCATCCAATGCCTTGAACCTCAAAGCTGCTCAGTGCAAGGTGAATCCCTGCACACAAAGCAGAATAAAGGATCAAAGCAAGGAAATGCTGYTCATGGTAAAAGAATGTTTTCCCCCCCTCTCTAGGGAGCAACTCTGTATTGTCAAACAGCAACAYCACCTATCCACTCCCCTTGAATGTCATGGCATTTATGCCACCCTTTCACAGCTGAGAATCCATCTGAAAAGAAAATTCTGACTTGGGGTAGTAGGTTTCCTGAGTATGTGAGGCAACTCAGGATAAATGATAAATTAATAAATCCTGATCTGGAGGTGAATTAATTCCACCTAGGGTTGATGTACATTTGGGAATTATCACAGCCACTTTTGCTGCACAAACGCGACAGAACCAAAACATCACACTAATCTCAACAAGAAAAACTGTGAAATTAATACCAAAATTATAAGGTCAATGAGTACCACATGAAAACATTCATTTCTACAAGCTAGAACACGAGATGCTGAAAAAATATTTCTAAATCCCACCCAAATAATATCCTTCATATACAGCAGCCGACTGGCAAGTTTTGACATGGAAAAACCCCAGTCAGACACAGAGGGGTCATTCACTATTTTGTAATTATACTTACTTAAGGACTTGAGATGGAAAAACCCAACAGCTTATCTCCTTTCTAACCAGTAAGGGTTTAATTCAGTAATCAGTAACACATAACACCATGCTACCAGAACTACATCCTTTTCTAAATGACCTGATCATCCTCTTAAATTAGAGTTCATCCCAAAAAACATGCCTCAGTTTAGTATTTATGGACAAGTTTAAACACAAAGATGAATCTTTACATCTTTCTTCTTTCATACAGCTAAATCAAAATAAAGTTAAAACTGCCACAATTGTAATATTTTAAGTAGCATAATGTGTTGTGAACTCTTTTGTTCTTTGCATTTTCATCACTAGTTTTTTGATACTAAAAAAAACATGTAAGAACTTACAGGGAAGTCTTTATCAGACTCTTGTATTTGAACGGCAAAGTTATCTGGGAAGACTCCTTCTTTACCATTGAGYTCTCCTTTCCACCAGCCTGGCTCTCCAGTGTCCTAAAATAAACAACAGGTCATTTCAATCAACATTTACTTCTTCCGCAGAACAGAAAAAGTTACACAACAACTTTTTTGCCTTTTACACACAACATAAAGTAATTGTTTRTCTGAAATTGGCCAACTTAGCAAGAGGAAACAGCTACAGATCAGATCAGGTTTGGTCAGTTTTTGTTTGTTTTTCAAAATGCAGGATAGAATTATATTACRTCATATAAGATAAGGGCAGAGGGATAAGATCTGCAAAGGGAAGGAAAGCACAMAAACCCAGTTATAATCTAACACACAACATTTCATCTTCTCAGCTTCCTTGACCAGCAAGTTATTCAGTAAATACRTCAAATGTTATTGGCATGACACATAATTCCACTAAATAAAAGTGATTCTCATGTGATGGATCAGGTCTACTGGTCTGAAAAGGGTGAAGAAACAAAAGAATATACCCCACTGAGTGAAAAAATAACCATATATGACCTAAGAAAATAAAGGAGAATTAATTCAGTGGCACAGAAATCCATTACATGACATTACTGGATTAAGGCCTTTGTCCATAAAAGTAAGTATGATGTTATCAGAATATTTTAGCAGCATAAGCAACAGCTTTCCTTTGTCCCTGAGATCCAAAAAAAAAAATCACAGAATCCTACAATGGGTCAGAAGGGACCTTAAAAATTCACCCAGTTCAAACCTTCTACCATGGACAGGAATGCCACTCACTTTGGACAATTTTTCTTCACCCCAGTTTGGACCAATTCAGGTAAATCAATTTAAAAGACAGAGAGGCAGAGTCAGTGAATTTGGGGCAAGGACTGCTGTGTTTCCAAAAGGGCCTTYCATAACCACTCTTTTCCACTGTAATCAGGATCAATCATGCTCAGAATATCAATTTTCTTGTTAAGAAAGTGGTCATCTTTTCTATAAAATTAAAATCATACTAAAGAAAAATGTGTTTTCTTCTGCAACTCTGTGAAAGTTGAAGATGAAACTTTCCATTTTTTTTAGGGAAGTCATTACTCCTTATTATAGTAGCATATAAATTAACAGAAGACTGCTGAGTAGTGCAAGGAAATTAAGTATGGGTAGGTTCATTTCCTGTTGAGAACCGTCTCTGCAGCAAGAATATCTATCTAAAAGGCACTTTCAGGATTCAACACAAATGAGAACATTGAACTAAATAATCATGTTTCTCTTAACAGCCAGAAWGCATCATTAATTTCTGTATGGTTATTATGAATCACCAGAGAAAAGGAACAGTTTCTGAAGGTAAAAGGGGCTGTTTGCAAAGCTTTTCCAGTTTCCTCACTGAAGAGGCTTTTGGTACTGAGTGAGCACTGATCCCGCTGGCCTTTGCGGACCCCAAGATAACCTCCCACCCTGRAACAATCTTTGAAGTTATCTATATCTCTATCAAGAGCAGAAGCAAAGAGCTGGCTCTCACATGAGACAAACCAAGTCTACAGGAATATCGACTCCAACAGACTCTCCTGCTTTTGCAGTTCACACACTGCCCACCTGTACAAAATTCACCAGAGCCATATACATGGTCAGAGCAGACTAAACTYTTTTACCTTACTGATTATTTGAATGATCTCGCCTTCTTTAAAGCTGAGTTCATCATTTGAGCCTTCATAGGAAAATATTGTCCTGCAATATTCCTTGGCTGGAACAAAGGAACTCAGTTAATCTGGATACCATGGGTAGTAACAAATAATATAAYACAWATAYWATMTAATAAATATATTATATATATTAAATATAATAATATAATAGAAACATAATAACAGCTCACTAAAGAAATCAACACTATAATCATACCTCTCCTCTAGACCAGCCATCCAAAACTGCTTAACAAATGTTAGCTTGTTTTTTTAAACCACAAGAAAAATAAGATTATATAATTATAGAGTAATGGAGATAAATCTTTGAGAAGTCAGGATTAGAAGCCCCAAAACATTTTTTTTCACAAGGGCAACTTAATTCAAGGCCTCTGATTTCAGAGRGAGAAAAAAAGCTAAAAATATCACAGTTAAAATTGTAACAGTCCATCTAAGCTTCCCCACAGCATTTATATATTCAATTTTGAGCTACTTTAGACAAAAATGGTTTCAAGCTTATTAGAGTTTACATGTATTTTCTCAAAATTGATCTAAATGYCAAATTTGCAATCCTAATTAAATACAGGCAGTTGTTTTCAAGTGAYATCCTTTACTAACACATAAAACAACACACGTCAAGCAGCACACTTCAGAAATTGTGCAGTGAAACCAAGTAATTGAAGCAAAGGCATTCCTTGGCTAAACAATCGAAACCAGAGCTCATCATGAGSCATCAACTCAGTCACAGCCTCTTCTGCAAAAGCAGAAAGAATAATTCTTTTCTTTCCATTTGGTACAGCTCAAAACTAATCCACTTAAAATCATGATAACAATTCAGGTGAAAAAGCAAGAGGATTTGTTTTCCTTTCCCACACTTGAACAAAAACAACAAGAGARGCCAAAATATATAAACATAAAACTTTTAACCCCAGCACATTTAAAATAATTTAGCAGATAAAAAGGTTGGATTTCTACAGCTRACACAAAGAAAGAGGAAGCAAACAAAAAGGACTCTTTAGGTGCTGCCATGACCTCTCACAATGAGCAGCTGCATCATCCCCCAGTTAAAGCAGCACAACATCAAGTCACAGAATCATCTGCAATTCTTAATGATGGCCTTTTGCTGGGTGATAAGAAAATAAATGAGTGAATTGCAGTCAAATCTTCTTGCAGTTCTTGTATTTTAATCCAGATACACATCTTTAGTTTAAAACTGCACAAATTGTATTCCCAAATAAAAATCTACCACAGTCAGTGACAATCACTATGTAAAAATGCAAAAGTATGCCAAGCTTAAAGAGAGAGCTTATAGAGATATATGTATGYACACAGATATGTTACCATGTGAGTAATCTTAGGTACAAGAATTTGCATTATTTTGATGTATTATCTAGTAATCAAAATGTTCAGCCATAGCCTGAATATATTGTGGTTCATGAAGAATCACAGAAACAAAAGAACCATGTCAAAGAGAATAAWGTTTAAATTGAAGTACAAAGCCCCAAATTCACATTGACTCTAAAAAAAAAAATTCAACAGGTACACCACAAATATTTATCAAATTCTAKGATTTTATTCGCCAGTAATGAGTGACTGTAATACATTTCACTACACCGTGATTCTATAAAAATAAATGCATTTCCTTACTGCCTGGGAAGTTGGCCAGTAAAATCCTTTATCTCCCCTCCTCATATACACTGAGTCCCACAACAGACAAAAAGCAGTGCCAGAAAGGGGCTGTTTGACTCTGCTCCAGCTGCCAGGAAGGCTGGAGACAGGGAATTCTGCACCCTGCCCAGGTCCCCATGTGCTGGGCTGAAAACCCCAGCACCAGCACCACCAGGAAATCAATCCACCTATGAGAGAAGTTTGTACAATTTGCCCCTTTAGCATCTTATTTTGTGAGCCTGGTATTCTGCCAGTAGTTAAGTTTAAGAAAGACTCCAGTTTAATTTTACAGCATTTAAGCATTAGTAAATATTTTTAAGAAAAGTTAGTTTAAAGTAAGCAATCACAGATATTGTATCCTAACATAATTGGGGGAAAGAGGGGTCAAACCATGATTATTTTAATTTTTTAAGAAAATATTTTTACATAATTGCACCAGAGGCCAAAACAAGCTTCCAGAAACAGCAGAGCCCCACTGCAAAATAAGCCATTCTAGTCTAAACATTTCAGAGATCAGTGTTTATCTGCTAAGAGATGAACAGAGTTTATTTTAAACCTGATCTCAAAACTGAGGATGAGACACATAAAATGTATTATGTTCTATAATTAAATATTTAAACACTAAGGAAGAAAAACAAGYTTTCTTCCTAAGGTTATAAGATTTTCTTATATGGTGTCTATAGGTATTACCTACTGATGTTCTCCTACAGCTTCTATTACTGCCACATTTAAGTTCCTCTCTGCTGTGTTTGTTTCTCTGGGAAACAGAGATGCAGGATGGGTACAGAATTAGTCCAATTTCTGTGCTTTTAGCATGAAATGCACCTGAAACTATGAAATGAGTTAAATGCTGAATGTTCTGGGTGTCCAGTACTGAATGTTCAAATTTTTATCAGGCAGAGTTGGGTTAATTTTTATGCAGTTTTAGACAAATTTCACAATGCACAGGACTGCACACTTGTCTTGATGATTCTTAGAGCAAAAGTACTGGAATGGCTTGAAAGCAAGATGCTGCAGTTTTCTTATTTTTGCAAATTATGCATTCCATAGAAAACAACACACMAAAATAAGGTATTTCCACATAAAACAAAAATATACTTGAAATTACAATACAGAAGTTGAGAAAATGCCTGCTCTGGAAGCGGGGAAATGAGCTATCTACACATCACATAATCAAAGTTATTTTTTTATATGGGGTTGGCACTCCCACAAGATGTTTTGGGTTGGCTTAAAAATATCTCCCTAGATAAAACTGGGCAATTTGGCAGCTAAATGAAGTCATAAATTCTTAAGAGACAATAAATTTATTTTTTTTTTAAAGTACAAACAGAACCACAATGGAACTGGATTATGGAGGGAAGAGACCTCAAACGATGTAAATACCAACTTTCTGATGCAAGAAACTTCACACAGTTGCAACAGCACACTGCCATCCCCACAGAAAACCCTGCAAAGGAACCTGTGTAACTTAGGGACAGAAATGGTGCTGRGAGACTGTTCCATGGAAATAGGTCTCCTGCATCCCACGGGAASAAAGCCAGGCAGAGAGTGAATCCCTTTCAATACATCAACAGAAAATYAATGCAGAGAGACTGTTGCAAAAAAAGTTCACACCCCAGCCTTACTTTGTTCTGGGAAACAACTCTACAAATGTTTTTATTCTTTCKTTACAGAAATGTAAGTAAAATTCCTTTAGACCTTTTTGCACTTGCATAACTCCCCAGAGGTACAAAACTCCAGTATATGCAGAAGTTTCAGATTTTAACACAAAAAAACTGATAACCAAACAGTTCACAAGAAAGAACTGCCAGGTAACAGATGCAAATGTCCATCAGCCTTACCTTTTGGTTTACTTTCAGCTTCTGATTTTATTACTTCAGGTGAGTTTTCAGTTTTTGTTATACTGGGAAGATGAATTAACTTTGCTCCAGGGGGAAGGTTAGGYAATGGCTGTACAAAGGGAAGAGAACTTTGTTAACAGAAATTCTTTAGAATTTTGTTTTTGATTGGGCTACAAGACACACTCAATTTTTCATTAGCTGAGATGATGCAAATTACCATCTCCAAGAGATGCAATGAGCTTTCCCATTAAGCACTTAGCTTACTGTACTTACTCCATTACAGACACCGCAATTAGAATTTGTCTACTGATTAAAGACAGGGCACAGCTTTCAAACTGGAAGCCAATCTCAGGACACGGCCAAATACACTTCAGCAATTGTATTTCAGCAGTTTCAGGTGTTACTCTCACATTAGCCTGAAAATCATCTCYTCCAGCACGTAATAGAAACATTTATTTAACAGCTCTGCTCAGATTAACTCGCCTACCACTCTTACTTTGCATTGGAATAAGGCAGCAGCCATACAGCACCTCAAACAATCAGTTTTTATCTACTCAGACAAATGAAAGAGTAAATGAAAACCCATCCCAGCTTCCCTTCAATCTCAGCAATTTGTACAGAACAGGTTAAGTGTCACTAGAGATTTCTCCTGAATGAAAAAGCACAGAGGCATTGCCACAAATTTCAGAGTTAACACCTACCCAAAATAAATGATACAATAGTTTCTTTTTCCTCCCAGAAACTTAATGAACTGCCAGGCAGATTCTGGCAGCTTCAGTTGCAACCACTTCTTCACACTCACAGAGCTACAAACACAGAATAGCATCTGAAAGACTTACCTGTGCAGTCCTAACTGCATTACTGATGTGAAAAATCCCACGGCCTTTAGTTACTCTGCTCATTTTCATCTACAGATCAATTCTGCAGATCTTCTACTGCCAGAGAAACTGGATTTACTCTCCTTAGATCCAGACAATGTCTTTAGGCTGGTGCTTGGTACCTCTGACATACCATAGAGGAATGTTCCTGCAGTACCTATGCAATTTAACTCTCTCCAGAATGGTATATGAAGGAAGCACCAAAATAACTCACCTCTGAGATYAAACACCTCCAACATGGAAATAGTTCTCTACATTTCCCCCTTCCAACATAAGATGCAATTAGAAGTAAGAGAGGAAGTTTAGGCAGACAGGGTATAAATAGCCTGGGCCCAGGCAGGATGCTGGGAGAGCTGGAACTATTTCCTGCAGCAGCATATACACTCTTGAGCACTCCAGACACATCAGTGCTCAGCCTTCCTGCGATGAACAATCCCCAAATTTCCCAAGGGAAAAGAGCCTTCTCTTCTCTGCACAGCTTTTTTTTTGTTTCTCCCCGTCTCAAAAAACTGCATCCCTTCATCTAACCCCAATGCAAGTTAAGCACAAATCCTAGGAAGCCATCTATTTTCACAAGACCTCCATGAGAATTACCTCCCTCAGCYACTCCATGTTGTTCTGTAAGTCTGTCCACCTTTGGGATGACTTTGGCAACAAGTGTAAGTGGAATATTAAGCCCTAAACTGTTTATTTTTTGACATCAAGCTATGCAAAACTGTTTCCTCACTTCATTTCCTCTCTTGCTKAGAAATGGCCTACAAGACCTTTCCTGACAGGCCAACCAAAACTGCACACCACCWGCATATTTTATTGTTTATACTCAGTCAAATAGAACAATTCAAAAGGTCTGATCAGACTTCATATTAATTGCACAGAGTTTGGATAGGCTCTTTATATTCCAAAGCAACAAGTTAGAAAGTAGGGAAACATCCTTTTCAATGATCAATCTCATGACAAGAAAGCAAACTGAAACATAGGTCYTGAAAACCTACTCTAACAGCACTGACATGGAGATGTAATGATCTCACAGACTGCCACATCAAGGGACAAAGTCAGGAGAGAAATGAGCAGAACCCATGTGCCTTCACAGAATCACAGGAAGGTTTGAGTTGGAATAACCATCAATAACCATCCTAGTCCAACTCACCTCCCACTGAACCAGGCTGCTCAAAGCCCTGTCCAGTCTGGCCTTGAACAATTCCACTGATGGGGCCACCATAACTTGTCTGGGCAACCTGTTCCAGCACACCAGCTCCCTCCCCATGAAGAATGTATTCCTCATCTCCCATCTTTTCTTCCTAAGCCTCCCCTCTCTTTCAGTTTAAGCCATTGTCCYTTGCCCTGTCACTACAGAGCCCACTAAAAAGTCTCTCTCCATCCATATATCCATCTATATATTGAAAGGATGCAGTAAGGTGTGCCATGGACTTTCTTTTCTAAACAACAYGTTCTTTAGGAGGCAACATTCTGAGCTTTAAACAGAAGGCAACACATGTGCAACTTTTCCAAAGCATCTAATGCTCTGAGTGGACCAGAAACAAACCCTACACAGACCCTGTTATTATCTGAGCATTGCTATTGAGGGAAAACACACTCAGGGAAGCCTCTGTCCCTGTCTTCCTCTCAGGGACTCACCTCACCTTTTGCCCTAAACCATTACAATTATTACCATGGCAGAGGAAAACAAACCACTCAGCAAAACAGCATTAATGAGCATAACCCACAAACTAACACTGAAATGGACAAAAGCTTTAAAATCTTTCTTGAACTGACCACCTGAGTCAAAACTGAAACTCTGTACTATCTCAGCTGTCTTTATCAAAAGTTAAAAATCCATATATAAGCTGTTGAAATAATAAGTTCAAGATAAAGTACTGAGCATTTTTGCCGTTCATCCAAGGGGTGAGCACTCCCAAACAACAAAGAATAAAAGTGCTCCTTTTCCCACTCACTCATAAAAAATGGGGGAAAGAAAACAAATGAGGATGCATAATCTGAGAACTGCATTTTTCAGCCWTACAGGCTTACACAACCAGTAATTTATGAAGCCAGTTAGGCAGCACTCACTGAAGGTAATGGCAGTTGACACCTAGAACAGCAATCTCAACAACTGCCAAAACTTGGAGAAAAAATCCAAATWAGCCAAAACACAAAGAAACACCAAAATATTCTCTGGTTTAAAAGGCAAGTTTAACTTGCATAGGTAGACTTAATCTCATCCCAGACTATATACAAAATCTGTTGCAAGGTGAATTATGAGAGACCTTACATTGCAGATGTGCTCAAGATACCAGTGAGTCTTTCACCACATGGCTGTGAAAACACAGTTTTTGTCTCAGCTTGGTTTTCAGTCTCTAATGTTTTAAATACCAAGACACTTGAGCAGACCTTTTGGAATAAATGTTAAATACAACTTACTGTGAAACCAATTTGAGGGATTTGTTTTGTTTTATAGGCAAGTTCCCTATGAGAGTCAGATTATGGTCATATTCCAAATCTCCTAAATCATTTTTACAGAAAACCTCAAAATAACRATATTTATGACTACAAACCTTATCTTGCTTTTTATCTTCTGATTCATTACTGGATAATCTTGTTTTAAGTTTCACTGAGCCTTCCTTAAAGATATCTCCAAACCCAACACCTCGGATTTTCTTTGGCTGCGCTGGTCCCAATGTAGGTTCACTCCCATTTCCTGGAGAGGTCACAGGTGAGGTAGGACTATTGAAAACAGGCTCTGAAAATAAAAAAAAAAAGAAAAGGAAAGCTATTTTAAATCTGAAATTATTTATTTGCTTTACTGGGAAAAAAATGGAAGCAGCACAGCTTTGTGCACTGCTCCCGCTAAACAACTTTTCTAGAAACACCACTCCAGCTGCAATACCTCACATTTGTTCTCATTTTACATTTAATATAAGACCGACTTAAATTACACCAGTTTTGAACTGATTACTCTGGCAACTAAACAGCTCACTAATATTCCTGCCATTTCAATTAGCACTCAGGCTCCACAGCCTGTTAATGTCAGTGTTTTCCATTAGTTTTACGAAACGCTGCTTATGCACTCTCTGAAAATGGCATTTTAGTCCAACGTTTAAAAGCTTCTCATTTGAACAGCTACAGCCACAGAAAGCGATAATCAATAAAGTTCCATAATGCATCCAAACATGTTTCAACTGCCACAGGAAAACACTGTGTTTCGGTGGCAGACTGATGCATCTCAAGGCACCCAAGTGACATTTTCCTATTGCTCAAAATGCTCCAAGCATTCAAACCAGATACAGTTGTTGGAGATTAATCATTGCTGGATAATACAACTATTTAGAATTCTTTTAATCTTCCAGTCTTAAAGGACAGCATTTATCCATCCCCCAAAAAACAGAGAACAACTCAATTTGGGTGTTCAGAGCTTCGAACTTTTTTTTTTTTAGTTTTTAAATTATGGTTAAATCTGTTAAAGCCCACAAATTAGTACACATCTGCATACAGATTCCAGGAGACAGTAATGTGAAAACAGCTTTTCTAAACCAAAGTTAAAACAGCTTCACCCCTTTTAGCCTTTGGGTCAAGTTCCTTTCAGCCCATACAGGCTTGTGAAGTGCAATGAAGATTAAAGCCTCTTCCCTCTATCACAAACTTAAAATATTTTGATGGTACTGTAAAGATACATTGCTCTTGACTTCAGTTTCTCTCTCRCCTTTGTCAACCCAGATACTCTTTATTTCGTTATATCCCCCTCAGATATCTCACAGGACAGCTAAACATCCCRTGGGTGGGAAAGGTCCAGGCTGCAWGTCTGAAACACCACAGYTGARTGAAAGAGGAAATTATTGTTTCCCAGGAGGGAGGAGAGAACTAACAGACCCTTCAGATCCTGGCTGTGAAAGCACTGAGCATTAAATACAACCCCTGGGGGATGAGGGCCTACCAACTTTTTAGGTACTGACAGAACATACAATTATTTCACATTACTGCTCCCTCTCACTGATCTCAGTATTCAGGAATTAAGGAAAACACATACTCATTTGTAAATTCATTACACCAGACCCCACTAAACTCAGGGAACTTGACCTCCAAGGAGACAGCCACTAAGCTATTTGAGACTGCTCAAACAACTCCTCTTTTATGCTACTGCAATTATTTCCACAATTTACAAAAAAAAAAAAAAAAAAAAAAAAAAAAAAAAAAAAAAAAAAAAAAAAAAAAAAAAAAAAAAAAAAAAATTCCAAGCCAGCCTCTTCTTTTCTGCGTCTGAGCAAGCCCCTGTTTGAAGCAATCAGTACTGGGCATCATGTAAATGAGGGTGCATGTTACCCCAAGGTAAAAAAAAAATCTCTTTTCCTTGAACATTTCCCTCAACACARTTGTCTTTAAGAAGCAATTAACTCTTGTTAAGATGCTCCCAAAAAACATCACTGTTCCAACAATACTATACCACACAAATCCCCTTCAACCTGATCTTCATAGACTGAGATGTTCCTGAAGTGCATTTTCAAGGTATCAGAGTAATTGCTTGTGAAGYACAGATCTGCTCTGTTCAGCCACAGAGTGTCTGCTTGTGCCCCTGCTGTACAGTCATAGCCAGAAAAGAACAGCCAAATGTAAATTTTGCCTTAAAAACATTTTGCTGTTAGATTAAAACATAATCTAAGCCCTAAGAACCAGGGTTTCCTTCCCTGGACTCATTTTAAATTGAGGCACTCCACTCTGTTTTGATCTAATTCAAGTTTTAATTCTCAAATGACTTGGTTAAATACTTAAATTTTCTGTTTTAGACAATTCATGTCTGTGAGAAGAAGACTGAAAAATATTAAACAAAAGAATAATTCCATATCTAATTCTAAAAAAATGTCAACTTCATATGYGATGAAATTTCTACTGATAAAATGTAGAACACACATTTGCAAGGTTAAGACCATGTATGAAACTTTATTACAAGTGAACTGAGAGTAGGACAGATATCTTCATATCCAACATCAACACTTTCTAGAAAGAAATAAAACACTATTCTTAGGAAGACTAAAAATAGTCTATTTTATACTATAGTATAGTTGTACTATAACGATGATACTCCAAATTATACCAGAAATAAAAAATTACTTTGCTAAGGGTATGCAACAAATAGAACATTACCTGTGTCATCCAGAGCATCCTGTGTTTCTCCATCATCCGTTGATTCCAATTCTTTCACAAAGTTTGAAGGAAACAACCCTGCCTTGCCATTCAGTGTTCCACTCCACCATCCTTCTTCTACCTATACAGAARTATGTTGCACATTACCAATAGAGCAAAAGGAAATTCCCATCAATTCCATCAACACGTCACCTATAAAACTCTACAAACAACTTTGGGCAAAGTTCAAATGACCATGATTTCTTTATAAAGAAACCTACCAAAGATGTACAAGCATTAGGCAAAAAGAAGAACAAGAAAACAACTTAATATTGCTTGTTTCACTACAGCAATGATATTAAAACATGAGATTAGCCCCACGGCAGTTAATCCGGAAAAGCAGCAAAATGTTCATCAGCTTTCTCAAGACAGAGTAAGAAGAAYTGCACATCTAACAGAAGAAGAAAATATAAAACTGTTTGTGAAATGCAGATGAAAACTGTAGTCTGGGTGTCTATGGAAATTTTTATGTGTTCTTGCCATCCATCTGTCTCTTCCTCTGTCTCGTCGAGTTCCCACCAGTCATGTTCCCCCTGGCCTCAGATCCACTGGGCAGCTTCACATAATTTCAATTAAAAGACACAAGTTTGAAAAATAAAATTTCWACAGATAATGTTGGGTAGAACAGAGAAATGTCCTTAAGGACATCCCAGAGTCCTGGAAAAGTGAGCTGTCCATTCCTTCTAGCAGGAGGGTGAACAGCACGTGCCACGGGGACAGGGACCTGCCAGMAGAGCTGACCCACATCACTGAATCCATGAGGATTTTGTGGTGGCACACAGCAGTCCTAAGGCCAGAAATACGCTGGATGCCAATCTTCTTGGCATTGCCATTTACAAATAAACCTCAAGAATCAGGGAACATAATTACTCTAATGTTTAGTTATGTGCTTGAATTCCTGTTGTGCTATTTACATTTAAATACTCCAAAATTTAATGGAGAGTTTACCAGRAATACCCCACATGGTCTAAAGCGGAACAAGCAAAAGCTGGGCATGAAGAGGTGATGGGGTAAAACAATGACAACAGACGAAGAATTAGGTTCTTCATATTTCTGAACAGTTTTCAAAATGCCTTAAATAAATTCAGTCTACTTACCTAATTAGCACWATTTAAAAACTATAATTAAGATAAATTTTCAAAATCTTTTATTTAGGTTGCCCTATTTTGAGGCTGGAAAGCTGTTTTTAAGAAAGGAAAGCAAGAGGAAAATAAAAAGACAAACCAAGCAGCAGCTGTTTGCATTATCTTTTTTTAGCCTGGCTTTGTAGGTCACTACGCCTGACACACAGGCACAGTTTTTAAATGCCAGCTCACCTCCAGGCAAGCAGAGCCCAGGCAGAACCTGGCAGCTACAGACACAGGCAATGAAAAGAGCAGTGTTATTTTTAAAGGCATCCTGGTACAAAAATACTGCTTTGTTGTGGATGGTTCAAACTCAGAGGTTGGTCCTCTGAAACAAATTTTAGGCACAGATTACTGCCAAGTGCTGCCCAGGCTCTGGYATCTCAAGCTTTACAGAACACATGATAGCAAACTAAAATACAAATGCCTTGACTCACCCACACCACTCCCCAGGAGCCACGAGAAAGGGACTTTTAATGCTTACAATACAGAAAGCAACTTGAGCATCCATTTATTCTTCTGCCAAGAAATGTRGTCAGCAAAGTGCTTTATAGCAAAGCAAAGCAATACCAATTCAGAGGCACTCAGGAACAAACCCAAAATTTCTTGGGCCTCCTCACCGTACTGCCTTTAAAAAACCCCTGACTATACACAAACTGTATTACCACAAAAGGTTTATTGAATCAACATTAAGATACAGGCTGAAGAAGTTCTACATGCTTTTGTGGAGAAAATCTGCACATCTGTTAGCAGCAGCAATACAGATAACAATTTCATAACCCTTCTCTTCCATTTCAAAATCTCACCAGRTGATCCAATTTCCACAAGAGGGAAGCACAGCTCTGCTACATCCACCAGAGCTTTTTTTTTCAGTGTGAATCCCATGGACTTATTTCTACAAGAAACTCCAGCTTCTAAACAAAAAATGGGGAAGAAGGCTAAAACAAGCAGCTTTGCATATCTGTTTTTTTTTTCTTTTACTAAAAACTTCCCTAATTATGTTATATGAAATTTTATTTTGCTTGGAAAAACAGTATGTAAATACTAAAAATATAATACTACAAAAATAAAACTGCTATTTTGTGCTGCTCCTGACAGGAGCAAGGGGAAGAGATAAAGAAGAAATAAAGGTTTTAGAGCAATGATACAGTCATCACGTGCAYTCTGTGCATGTTCTTGATGTGTAAAACCCACGTGACGTTCTATAAACAGAAAACCCTGTGGATTCAGTCAGCATATAGTACAACTTTCTTCCCTAAAAATTACTTCTGCTCTCCTCAATAGCAGCCATTTAATTTCTGAACCCATTTGACTCCACCTTTGATTTCATGATCAGTGGTCTCAGTTGCAACTATTCCATTTGCAAAAACTACTCAAGGGCTAAACAGTGAACTRTTCTCAAGTAACTGACAGAACTGATCCCCTCATGTAGCTGATTTTACCTTATTTTCCCCAAAGAAAGAGGTGACCAAACGATCTTTCCTTGAAGTAACCATTACGAGTCATCTGCATGTACATAAACAATACCTTTTATATATAAACAGAAATGAATCCTCTCACAGGAATGAAGACAAGTTACCTAAGACAAGTTATCCCAGCATATTGCACAATCAGTGGACAGGATTTTTTACCACTCTTTACATTTCTGGTCCCATCAGTACAGTTTCATGAAGCAGACAGACAGTCTACACCTAAAGTCAGTCTACATCACCATAAAGTCAGTGTCCAAACAGCTCTGTGATCATCGTAAGCTGTGGTATTTTTCTACCAGGTAGCATGTCCCTAAAAATATCTTATCAGTTTTTCAAAGTAGCAAAGACTAGCTACTAAAAAAAACATATTTTCAAATCATTAGGAAAGTATTAAMAAAAAAAAAATAATAAAATATAATCCACACTTCCTTAAGAAACCAGATGAGGAAATGCTCTGATCTTTTTATTCTGCTTGGCTACTTGGTCATCTCTGATACATGACACTGCACACTCTCTGAAAATAATTCCAGATGGTGACACGTGCAACCAAAACAGCAGCTTCCACAATAGTTCTCTGCATGTGCTCTCTCATATGAATGCCTACACTGCACCATCCAGTCACAACTGCCAGTACAGGCACCAGACACAAATTGAAGTGCTGAGGTTACCCAGGAACACCCTGTTAAAAACACCCCCACACAAAGGTATTTACGAAACGGTGAGTTTAGTGAGCAGGTTTTGCAAGTTGCTTGCTCTGTTTACTCAGATATTAAATTCGGGAAGTATTAGTGCAAATACATCTAAAGGCATAGTTTTTTTTCCTAGCCAGCAGAATGGATGGGTCCTTCCTGGCAAGTATCAGGTTGGCACTCTCTTCCAAAGAGGGTCATGCACATGAAAAATAAACAGTATCCTAAAGCTACTTAAAAAGCACCACCAGTAACATATGGATAGGAAGAAAGCTTCATCCTCCATCCTCTGAGACTCAGGGAGGGAGGCAGCAGGAAGAGATGGCACCAGTGAAGGTCAGAGCCTGCTGCGCCGAAGTTTTCCACCCAGTTCTGAAAAGGTTCCTTCCACAACCACTCTGATCTTTTCCACAGCTTCCCTGACAGATTTCACATTTGTTAGAGACACTTTCCACATATACAGACCTCCCACCATAGTTGTTGAATGGGCCAGAGACCAAAGAAGCACATGGGTAAGAAAAGAGACCACCACCACTCCAACTCAATGAGTTTACAACAGAGCATGAAACTGGCAAATCAAGTCAAGTAACATATTTCATCTATACCAGTCTGGAGCATGTCAGCCTAAAGAAAGTTGTCTAACAGTTTTAGCATAAGCATCCTAAAGCCAAGAATGACACAGACAGGGCCAAAGTACTGTAAAACTCTAAAAAAAATGAATCTGTGTAACAGAACACAATTTATTGCTGTGACGATCAAATATTTCTTCTCAACATCTAGCATTCATTGATTAGTATTAGACCCTGAGAGAAAGAACTCATAAATTAACTTTAGCTGCAAAAACACTACTTCCCATGCTATTTTTCTGACATGCTTGTAATAAAGTAATCAGCCAAAGAAATTATTTAACTTTTGGCACATGGATGGTCAGTTCTGTAAACAGCTTACCTCGTCAATGATGTCAATCACATCCCCCAGCTTGAGTTCCAGCTCATCCTCATTCTGTGGGATGTACTCAAAGAGCACTTTGCACTGCCGCTTCTTGGACTCTGATTCAAGGGAAACACCAAAAGTAAGAACATTCACAAAGGAAAATTCRTCTTTCTTACACTCAGCTCCTGAAGGTCCATAAAACATCCCAAAAAGCTATGCAGCTTTTGATGCTGGGTTTACAGGTTGTTTGTGTCACCTTGAGCTAGCGTGCCATAGCTTCCATGGACCTCAGAAAGCGACTGCCGAACCCAAAAAACCAACACGGCATCGCCAATTACCAACCCGCTATAAAGAGTGTGTTGACACAAGCAACTCGGGTAAATCCCCACTACAGTGATTTTTCAAGTTATTTCCTGATCAAAATCTSCAGGAATGACAGTAACTGCCAGTTAGCACCTGCTTGGAAGAAAACGTGCAAGTTTGAGCCTCCAGTCCTTTGGCAATCCTGAAAGCAGGAACACCATTTGTTGTGCACAACACTGGAGAGCTTACAGATCTTCTGGCCTCTAACAAGGAACGTGCAAACCACAGCTGAGGTAATGTCAACAGTTACTGGGCTCCCATTTCAAAATTTAAACTCATTTTTATCAGTGAATAAAAAAGCCCTCCCTTTGCTCAGTGCCAGTATGTYATCTAGTAATTCAAACTAAGTGTCCATTAGCAGTCTTTGACAAAGGCAAGATGAAAATCAAGTGCAGTCTTTAGCTGTTTGCCCCACATCATTAAAGCTCTGCTGTCATTAAAAAGGCAAAATGACATCCCGAGAGGGGAGAGCATTGAAGTGGCTTCCGAGAACACAAACCCTGCAGCCACAGCGGTGTGAACCCACGCTGCCTAATTATTCTGCACATATCCTGGAGTGATGCTGCTGTTCAACCCAGACAGTTTATGCCTCTCTCCTTCAAACAAGAGGCCATGCCTTCAGACCTTTTCCACAACATAGCAGCCAGGCAATTTTTGAAGGCAATTATCATCTTGAGCTATGACCCTTGGGTACTCCCTATCCTCCTCAAAAGCAATCTGCCACAGTTTAAATGAAAATATGAATCAAAAGCTGGAAGTGGTAGAGCCTAAGCTTTGAGGAGCTGTGTAATTTCCATGCTTTCTCTCAGACTTTGTACTCCTTCCACACTCAAGCTTCAGCAATTAAGATTAGCTGTGYAAAAACATTTCAAAACACAGATACTGTCTCCAAGACTGATCCTTGTCTTATTATAGCACTGTTCAAAGTCCAAAGTCAAGCATTTAGAAAACCACACCCAGCATCCTCACTACAAAACAGGCCAGGCATCTGAGTAACATTCAGCATCTAAAATTTCTGAGAGGGCTCACCAAATCAAGCATTTCTACATGCTGGTATATGATCTATGCAAGAGACAAATAAACCAAATAAACAAAGCTTTATGGGTTATTTCTAATAACACATAATTGCCCATATAATACACCCTTCTTTYACCTCTACTGGAACCCATGCATGGGCCCAGAGGGATTATTCAGTTAAGAGTAATTGCAATAAATGGTTCACTGGCCTTTACTGCCTCCTGCAGTGCTTTCAAAGTTTCTGCTTTGCAGGAGATTAMCTGATACCAAAAATGGCAAATTAAAAAGTCACTGCCATTTGGTATAAATCTGATCTCAGTGTTCCTTTTCATATTGTAATTATATCTAATGGTGTCGGGGGGAAACCCTTGGATGCATTTCCCATCCAGAGCCCTCTCTCTCCTCTGAGGTCTGTTTTCAGGGACACAGAGTTTAGGAAGGCCTTCCACTTTTGAAAATCTCTAGAATACTAAACTAGGAAGGGAAATTACCCTCCCCGAGAGTAGCACTCCAGCTTCACGTGCTGCTGCACGACTGCTAGGCTGGCAGCCTGCAGGCAATTCTGTCCCTTTCCAAAACAACTTTYCTGGCTTCAGGTTTTGTTTGTTTTGTAGAGTAACCCAAATTTAGCCCTTTGTTGCCATCACTTAGCAGACCTTCTGTATTTTCCTTCTGCTGAATAAAGGCAGACATCTAACTGACAGTTCTGCCTGCAGCTTACCACCCACCTGACACAAAAATACCTGAATTCAGGGAGAGCAGCATGTGGGAACAACACAAAGGACAGAGCAGGCACAGACAACCTGTCCCACTGCACATGGAAACTTGCTATTGAAGAAACTTAAAACTGTTTTTAACATTGTAAACCTCATTTTAGCAAGYGAAAAGCCAGAAATGCAAAGACAACTAAGCTCTGGAAAGAGAGCAATTGCCGCAGCCCAGAGCAAGCAGGATCTGCAGAAGCTGTTTAAACAATCTTCCAGGAAAAAGGGAACAGCAAGTAAAATGGAAATGCAGAAATTGTCACTGCACCAGGTAAACAGCTGTGTGCCCAAAGGGAAGTGCTTGATCACCATTTTCTCCTGAAGGACAAGAGTAGCCAGAGCCCTTCAGAGTTYGAGACCAAGCTGTACCTACTACCCTGGCCACAGCCACCAGAGGATGAGGATGTGACATGGAAAATATGGGACCATTCCAGGGTTAGGGTGACCAGAACAACAGCTGACAGCTGAACTGGTATCAGATCATGTTCACAGAATCCTACAGTATCTCCAGGTGGACGGACCCATAAGGATCACATTGATTCCCTTTCAGAGCCTGGCTGCRTTTATCTAGGAACAACATTGATCTTTCAGGTTGGATTTTTCCAAAGCCTGCTGTGTAAACATCTAACAGGCACCTACGTGCTGTTGCCAACATGCACACACAGATCAGAGCCACTAAAAAGTGGKTTTGAGTTCTTAGTTTCCTGGAACAAGTTCTCCATAAATTTGTAAAGGTGGTGGTCCCATTTCAGGGTTTTAAAAGGCAACTAATGGCTCTTTTTTATAGGCAAAACCTCAAAGCATAAACATGCCAGAACCAGTAAGCTCTGAATTCTTTTTTTTAAAAAAAAGCTTAAATCATAAATGCCTTCAACACCTTATAACACAGAGGAAGCCACAATAGTTTAAAGCAGTATCTTGCAAGAGATTGCTATGTCCAAATACAAATCAGAAGTCCATTTGCTGGATGCAGGGAATGGTAAGTTTTCTGCTCYAAGTTTTGTCACCTTGATTTAAAAACTGGCATTATAACACAGAAATCACCGATACAAAAAGCACCAGTGCTACAATCCTRACCATCCTGAGGGTTGCTGTTAYAACAAAAGGAAAASYAATACYTTTTCTTGAYACCACCAAYTCYACCTCATTTCACACCAGAAGCAAGCCCATCAGGAGGAATCTGAACTACGCAGGGTTTCCTTGTCAAAGACTTGAATTTGTAGCAAAACTTAATGCTTTCATRTTTTAACRTTYCATTTTAACTGGCCACAAGAAAAKGCTTGATTATCATGAACAGGCCTGCAGTTCTCATTCAGGCACCGGATAATACAAACAGAGCACACAAGTTACAGAGCTCTCTGACATTTGGGTGGGGGTCTAAATCTTGTTCACAGAGAATATTCATCCAYATTACTGGTGTTAAAAGCTACATATAAACTTTCTGCTCATAAACACAGGAGCAAAATTTGGCTTTGAATCACAGTTTTTCCACCTATGTTTCTAGTTTTCCATATAACCTTCAAACTAAGTCATGCATTAAATAATCCATGTTTATTTTAAAAATATGCACGTCAGCAGCATGCGCAATTGAAGGAATTGGAAAGACCACATACTCTTCTTGAAGCCTTTGGATGGGGGATGAGGCTGAAATCCTCCTGCTGGAAGCCCATAGCTGCTCATACGCTGCACAAGGCTGGCTACATTGCCAGATTTCTCCCTCCTGAGTGGCACAGCATCATCCTTGGGCTCTACATCCTTCTTAACTTCCTGAAACAAGAGATTTAAAAGACTCAGAGGCCACTTAAATCACCCAAGAGGTCAGTGTTCTTAGACAGGTGCTCCATGGACTAACACATTTCAGGTACTTACCATCTGGGGTATAATGACATATTACACTCAAAAATCATGGCCTTCATCCTGCAACTAAACATACCCAAGGCTGTAATAAACCTGACCCTTCCATACAATCTTGTTACTAAACAGGTAATGTGCTGAGAAAAATCAGAAACAGGAGCAGCATTTTAGCCATCTACTCCAACTCTAAGAAAAAGAGCTTTGAGCCCAGAAGTCTCATATTACAACTTTTATGTAACAGCTCATATTTGAAACATTTTAAAAAAGCATTAATTCAATAACAGACCATAGGGTAGGATACTAAAATATTTTAGTATGTAAAACTGTATTAGGTGATCATCTCTGCCTCCAAGATGTTTACAGATGAGATGCAACTGCACTGCTGAAAGATGTGAGTAGAAAAGAAAGTCAGCCCCAAGAAGCAGAGTGGGAGCAAGTGAGGGAAAAGAKCTAAGAAGGAAATAACAGAGATACAATTTTTTCTGGTAATGTCTCCCACCTTTCTAAATTAAGATGTTAGCATTGTAACTGAACGTGCCAAACAAGACTGAGAAGCTGATAAACAAGAAAGCATCAGTTCTTGACAAAAAGGCCAAGCAGCAACAGTCACTCACTCTACTACATAAGCTCATTAAATGAGATTCCAATGGAGAACAGATATTCTGAAAGAAGGAAATCATCACTTTGCACAAGAAAAAAACCCATTAAGTCGGATCAATGGCCCATCTAGTGCAGAACACAGCTCCCAGCAGCCACAATCCCAGATACTCTTTTGAGCTCCAGCAAATTGGATCCTCCCACAGTCCCAGAGCACCCAYAGGGGTTTCATCAGGGAGATGGATCACTTCTTCTGCCCCTCCTATGCCTGCACATCCTCTTCTGCACCCATGGTCCTGCCTGCCTCCACAGGATCCTTGGGGATGGCAAACACCCCTAAGTACTTGCAGCTTTTTGTGATCCATTTCAAGACAATTCTTGCATCCAYCATCAGTAGCCACTGGTTAACAACTCCATGAGTTATTGCAGCTGTAGCTCCAATAAAATATTTAATATTTGAAAACAGCATTGGCAAGGCATACATATACACTTACTCATGTCATGTGAATTCTTGAACATGAGCTTCAAGACAACAAAGACCACACATTGATAAAATGCCAAAACTATGAGAGACAAATCCTCCAGGACCTGTCTGGTGCTTTTTGGACCATTAAAGCCCAACTTTCTTACTGCAGCTGTGCAGCTGGAAAACTCAGCAGGTCTGAAAACCCACTGATGCTTTCAAACATACTGTGARTCTCAAGTTAAACAGACCAAAGCATCTTTGTATTTCCCAAAAGAAAAGAGCAAGGTTACAGACAGCACAAATTTTTCCTCCCACTCATCTACATTTCACAAAAAAAGGCTTTTTTAAAAAACAGTGGGAGTAGTTCCTGCTGTTACTCTCCTTCCTCCACAGTGACTTCTGCCGTGGAGATCTTACTCTGCTGAGATCCATCCCATTTTCCAAGTCCAAAAAACCCTCCAATCAAACAAAWAATTAGCACAGCATCCTTTCTACCTCCCTTTTGAGCAGACATTTCACATTTCAAAGATTTTGTCATTCTCAGGCCTATAGCTGGTTTTTGGCCAGTTACGTGTAAGTCTGATTAAACCATAAACAATTAAATTTGGCTACAGCTGAAAAGTTTGCYGCCTCCAAAACATCTTTCAAGCTACCTTTCTGACAAGGCCATTCTGCCCATCTTAAAAACATACTGATACTTGAAAACCTACCTAGAGTGCTTTTGCCTACCCCTGGATTTTTTTTTTTTTTTTTTGCTATGCAATTTATACAGCCTCCTAAAAACTTCAAGCTGCTCCATGAATTAATACTTCCCCACATTTCTCAATTGTAACACTTTCCAGTGAGGAGTCACCTGCAGGCTCCTTCCCCAGATCTGCACTTTGCATGAGACTACAGAAACAGTTGCTTTAAGAACTCTGTAAAAAGCACAGGGATGCAAAAATAAAATGGGGAAGGCCCTGCACAGACATGGCTAAAAACATGACTTGCTTTTGGTTTCTTTTATTAGAAGAAAAATGAAAAAAAAACCAGTACACACCCCACTTCCAAATGCTAGAACACACTGTGAGATAAGCATCACCTTAGTCAGTAATTTGAATTAAAAGGATAATACACTTTTAAGCCCAGCAATAGCATCAAAGGCAGCAAAGTAATGGATAAGTTATGAACAATAGGAAATTATTTCAGACAAAAGTAGTGCCTACTACAACAGACTAAAGACCAAAAACAAAAGGAGGAACACTTGAGTGACTTTCTTGCCAGGCTTGACTCACTACCTGAAGTGCTGACAGGTCAAAAATACTTGAAAATGTAAAACAAGACAGTGGCAAATTTTAGCAGAAGGTAAAGTGGAATTACATTTASAACCAGGATCTAAAATAGTTCTGTGTGTAATCACTACAAGCAGAAAATCTTGCTGCCAGATCCAAGGGTGAAGATTTACTGCTGAYGAAATTTCATCAGCAGACACCAGAAAGAACAATCRGACATGGGGAGAGTCTGGCAGCRCCAGGAAGGTACTCTCTGTACCTTMCTAAGAGCAACTGTCCTAATCCAAGACAGAGAAAAGGAAAGAGGATACAAGGAGAAGTTCAAGGTGGCTGTGATAAAAACAGGAGCAGAGAGACTGCAAATCTGTCAGATTTATAATGAGCAGATGTGGGTAAGGGACTRGTACCAGCCAGGTTTGAATCTAAATCGACAGTGACATTTTACTTTGTGTGACAGCACTGTGAACACAGCATCACATGGAGCCGCAAAGAGAGGAAAAAACAGCCACATGAGAGTGTTCTGCCACAGCAGCCAGGGAGAAATCTAGTTTTGACAAAGAACAACGGAAGGGGGTAGGAAGCAAGGCATGGATAGGCCAGCAATGCTTTTTCCATATTAACCTGATATCGTTATACAAAGTTTTCGTAAAGCAAGCACTGTTTTTTTGTTCTCCTTGTTAAAGAAGAACTGCGACATTAATTACCCTTCCTTAAGGCACTAAAAACCATATTATAATTAAACCAAATTAAAACAAATTCAAGAAGCCCTGGTCTCCACATCTGCATGTGATCCACTACACCACAACCCTGTAGTTAAAATCAGTCTTCTAACAGCAGGAAAAAGCTCCAAAATTAATTTTCAAAAGCACACATTGGGATCCTCTGACATACATACCCATCACCCCCTGCCAGCAATGTCATTCTGGGCATCATCCTTGTGATTCCTTTCACAAAGGAAGTAATTTCTAAGCAAAGACAGTCTGGATATGTGAAAACAGACACTTATTGATGCAAACATTAATTCATGCTCCTTTAACAATGTCAATAAGAGTTTTGCAATTCTTACATCTCTCCCAAACAGCTTGCTTGAACTTCAGTGGCTAGAAAACAACACATTGCCTGCAGGTCACACCTCTGAGGTACCACTATACCCAACCTGAACATGCCCAAGATTCCTGTCCATTTGCTTCACAAAGCAGCTTCCTTTCTTTGTTTTTGGTGGGTTTTAAAGTCAGCCTTGTATATCCAAATTATCAGACAGAGTCTATGTTGTGACAATACCAACAAAAAGCTCCAAGACATTTCATCTTGTTCTGAGATGAGGCCTCTGTCAGCTGCCAGCCAGCAAAACCAAAATGAAAATCTGACATTAACTGCAGCTGGAAATTTTAATATTTTTATTCTGCCAGTCCACTGCAGWTCAAGGCTTGTCAGTGTTTCCATGAAAAGCACAGATTTTATGCATTTATGACTTGGCAGTACAAGGTCAATACAGATTGTCTCTTGGCATAAAACACACTCCACTGGGAAGCAACCACCCACTTGTTCTGTTGTAAACTACAGCAGTAGTCATAAAGGTTTGAAGACTTCATAATCTCCACTGAATGTGCATTTCGCAACACTTATAAAATCACTACAGTCTGATATGCAAAAAACAAGTATAAATTTAATTCAATAACAAAAAAGAAAAAAAGGTGTTTTTTTGCTTTAATTGCACCTGTCACAGTTCAACAATCCCTCGGGAAAATTTGTATGTTTACATACAAAAATCTCAAAATCGCTTAGGTACAGCAAAGTGTGATGCAAGAACTATTCTTTATACGCAGACAAAAATCCAAAACATATATATTCACCACAGTCTCACAATGCCCGTTAAAAACAAGCAGGCGGTCCTGACCTACTTCCAGGCGAGCAGGSAGCAGCCTCCCCACCATCCCTGCTTGCCCACCCAGGCTCCAGCAGGAACAGCTGGATCCTCCCCATTTCCCTCCCCAGAAGCCAAGAGCACTCAAATCAGCCAGGCAGTGGAGACAGAGAAAGCAGGTCAGATCGTCTGAAAAGCCAGGAGTTAAAAATACGAGGGCTATTCCTGATTTATAGGGAACAGAGAAGTTCATTATCCAGCAAATCTAAATCCGTAGCTAGATTCTTCAAGCATAAATATTAAGGCTTCAGCTGCCATCTCCTCATATATATGCCATTATACAGAGAACAATCATCTTTAGACTTCTTATATTAATTCCACTGTAACATCAGTTTGTGCAAAAATGATGTGCATTACTCKTAGTGGCTGAGTACATTTTAAAGCAAGATCTCAAGCAGCAGATAATGGTCTCAGTCTCTAAAGAGGCTGAGATGAAGAACACACAAAGATAAATGTCTGAGCCTACACATACAATTATCTCCTCTCTTTTCTTCCCCATCAGAATAGCAATAAAGAACCCATGGACCAGCAAATTAAGTCCATGACTCATATTTTACTGAGTAGAAAAGAAGTAACTCAGAATTGAACCCTGCCATTTTAGGGGAGGGGGAAGAATTGAAAGCTTGTGATRAATCTCCAGGCAATGGTTTTGTTT